ATATCATTGAGCCCTAGTATCAGATTTCTGTCCGATGCGCAGTGGAGATGAACCTTACTGCGGTCATGTGGCCCAGACGTGCGCGTAGGCTCTACGGCGTATCCATCGGCTGGTGACAACTGGAATAAGAACCGATCGAGGGATTGCTCTGCTTAGAGTATAAGCTCTGAGGTGGAGACAACAACAGTGCAAAACTAGTACTCTGTAAGCATATATTATTGCGAAATTCCTGCTGCACGTAATTTACAATGAGAACCTTCCTAGACCTAGACCGTCCTCAAGATGCTGCACTAGCCGTAATCATCCTGCAGATTCGACATTTGCGCTAGGTCCAGTTTGCGTCTCGTCATGCCTCCAGCTGCAGAAAGTCTTCCTTTGGTCTGGTTATACCTCAAGAACGACCCAGACGCGACATGATATAGCGCAAAGGCCTCGCCCCATCGTACACGACCAAAGTGAGGGACGAAAAATTTCGTTCCCATCTGTTAGAGCTGCTCACAGTATTGATGTTTCGCAATGAATTCACCTTGAGCAAATAGATACATAGTCTGAGACTACGTATCTATATAGTATACTATAGTACTAGTCTCAGAATCCAAGAAGGAGGCTCAGCCAATGCCAGAAAGTAGAGAAAAGCTGTGAAGATAAACGACTGTGAGCCTTTGCAGTCGTCGACGTAAATTACGGTGATGCCTTAAATCTGTCGAGAATGTTGTAGATGCTGTTTCCAGTCTAGCTTGAGAAATCTGGAACCATCCACGCCTCTTTCGGTTTCCATTTTCGCAGCAACTGAAGAAGATTTCCTGACGTTAGCAGTACTAGTCCTAGTGGTTCTCAATCTTTATCCATAGTTGAGCGAGAGGAAGTTGGGAGGGGCCTTCTTTCGCGTGCACCCACCTTGCACTCTCCTTGATGTCGAGATAACCCATATCTAGTAGGGGATAGAAGTATCTATGTATCTAAAAGAGTGAGTACACTTCTTCTCAGGAACAGGGCAAGAATAGGCCACACAAGATGATCATATTCAGGAAGATCACGATCAAAATCATCATATTAGCGGAATACTTCTAGTTCTACAAGAACTAAGTTCCATAATATTAGTCGTCTTCGTTGGATGGTTTTCGCTTGACTCTATTGCCCCAAACGTCGAGTGTAGTCTCAACATGACGAACAAAGACCGAAAACTGTTCTGCCTTTGGCTTTCTCCGCTTTTCTCTGCAGAGGAATGACCCGCACCATCTGATGCGGCCCCGATGCTGTCCAGCAGTGGTGCTTGGGTTAGAGACTGAGACATCGTTATAGATTACTGATCATATGAAAAATCTTTATCTCCGGGCTTTGATTCTTCATCGTGCCGCAGTGCCAAGAGTTGCCTTCTCTCGAAGTACAAGGAGAAGGCGACGTCTTTCATTATAGCAAACGGTGGTCTTTCAGTATAGCAAACGCTAACGCCCCTGCTCCTCGATGGTTAGGTTAATAGGTTAAATGGATCCTTGTCGAGTTTGGTTAGGTTATCTCCACGATCTTCTCATTACAAAGATTTATATGCAACCAGAACCATCTTCTCATTACAAAGATTCATATGCAACCATATCTCCAACACTTTTCCGTCGACTGCAGCAAAAGACACCACGGTTTGGTAGGCCAGAGGCGTAGCAGAACCCACAGAACGTTCGCAGGCCTTGGAGAAGATCCATCCGGTGGATTCTTCACTCTTAGAAACAAACGGACACGCTTAAACCTCCCACATAGGGAAAATTAGGGAAAATTAGGGAACCATAATGTCCCCTAATTTTCCCTAAGTTTTGACCTCCTCCACAAGCGTGTCCGTTTGTTCATAACACTCGTCAATGTTACTTCAAAACTTAGTAAGGGAGACGCACTAGCAGAAGGCTCCTGATCTTCTGCAAGCTCCTTCCCTTGGCTCGTGCTCGTCGTGGCGACTGTCGTGCTTCGAGGTTCGTTTTAGAACGAGAAATCAACTTCCTTGATGCTGATGGTAGTATAAGCTTTTCTCCTCGATGTTGCGAATTAATGCTAAACCATACTCCTCCTCGCCTTCTACTTTTCCTCATCATGTTGTATTTGGTACAACCCACAATTCAAATTTTTCCTTAATCATTTTCATCTCGGATGCGCAGTGAATTCAGAAGAGAGTCCGAACAATGGAGGTGCCATGCGCGACCGTACTTCTCGCTGACTATTCGGAGATTAGACGACTCTACTGAATCGGTTAGATTAGGTATGATCTATACATCGGTTAGTACTAGTAGATAAGACAAAATCAAAATTCATACGATGAATACTAGTGGTAGTGCTCTATCAATACATATACAACATCAGAGAAAATACGAATATTAACAAACCTTAAGCAAAGGTGTGGCTTGCGTTAACACGGCTCCAAGCTGCTGGTTGCCTGCACTGTAGGGCAACAACCGAAAAACGGCTCCGCCATCAAAATTCTTAGAAGTCATTCGTATGTTGGTGTCCCTCCATTCTCGACCACGACCTCGGGTATTCAACATCGTAACAAGTCCTCAAGAACGAGACCGCATCCTACTTGTTACTTATAATATATATACCTTTCCAATGCGTAGAATTGGTCTCCCTATCTTTTTAGTAAATATCTGAATCGACTAGCACCATCATCATCATCAGCATCATCATCTCATATGAAGTCTAAAAAGGAGCATCTCGATGTCCATCTCTACCAATAAAGAAGCTTTTCTCGCCTTAACAATATCCGTCAAGCTTCCGAGATGTAGACGTCGTGCTCCTTTTGAGAGGAAAGCCTCCTGTGATTTTTGGACTGCTAGAAAGCGACCAGTTTGTATATGGAAAAATTGCACTCGAGATCCGAAGACTAGGCGCGCAGGTGCGCCACGTTTCACTACTTTGGCGTTGTCTAAACGCTCCTTCTGCAATCTTCGCAGTGGTATTAGAAACAAATGAATGCCGAATGCATGGATAAAATGCTTGGGTCTTCATCTATTCTTCTATGGCTTTCTGATAGAATGCGTGATAGTCCTGGTTATAGTTACTGTGCCCGCCCCTGTGCTTCTCTTAGAAGAAGTTACACTGATTACGAAAATAATCAAGCGAGTACTACAATCTTAAAGTAGACCCAGCGCCAGCATCCCGAGAAGTCGTGCTTGCTGCGTCCGAAAGCTTCGGGACTATCTGAAACAAGCAACTTCGACCACACTCCACTGACGCCGCCAATAGAAATTAGCGCTAGTTTTTCACTGTGCCTGGCAATTTTCCCAGTTGTTATGCCTCGTCTCCCGTTATGTTCGTCCCCTTTAAATCAGGGTAGAGGAACTCCAGCCAGAATACCCCTAATGGGATAGCGATGCACTAGCCTTAAGTAAAAGACGCGGGAGCCGACAAGGACGAGCTTCCTGCCCCTGATGAGCTTTGTTGGTGTTAGAGATAAGTGAGACGATAAGGAGGAGAGGAGGAGGAGGAGGAGAACGAAGGAGAAAGCGGAGGGAAATAAAACTTACAATAGTATCTATTTGTAGAATATCAATATTGCAACCTGCGAGACTAGGAAGAGAGAGAAGGAGGACGAGGAAGAGGCAACGCTTTCTACTAGAACATGAGATTTTCTCCGCCAAGCCCTCCAGGAAGAGTTGTATTTATCAACTTTGCCAAAAGGCAAGGATATTAAACATCCTGGTACTAGAGTATTTATCAAATTACTTTACCAAGGTCAAGGATAAACGTAGTCGTAGTCGTGTGCCCAATCAAAATCATGGGGTATAGATGCAATTATATCTTCTAATTAGGCACTAGTGTTATAGAATACCATAAGTAGAAGCACGCTGCTGCTGCGGACCTCCCCCATTCTGCTCATGATAATAGCTGACAGCGCATACGGCATGCGGCGATGCGGAGGAGTAATTGGAAAGAAAAATTAGAAGAACAAGAGAATGCTCAAATTCAAAAAGCTAGAAAAATAAATAAAATAAAAATTATGGAAATGCTAGTCTAAATAGTACAAGATTGATAAGGGAACAGGCCAACGCCTAAACCACTTGGCTTAGTGGTTTAGGCGTTGGCCTGTTCCCTTATCAAAGAAGAAGTAAAATCGAGCATAAATATACAGGCTGTTCCGACTGGTTCCCCGAGCTGCTGGAGGAGACGTGAGCTGTGGATACAATGCCACTCACACCTCTCAAGGCCACGATGTCACCAAGGATTAGAAGAGAAATAGAGAGTTTAGTTGGCGGATCTGGCTTCAAGTATTAAAGGTACAAGTTAGTTGTAGTCTATTCGATTATAGATTCATCTATTGCTGATCTGCTATAAGAAGCTACTGCTGAAGCAGAACAGTAAGTGACAGCAGAGGGAGCAGTAAGTGAGGAGTCGTTAGAACTAAAGGTCAATATGAATACTTGCTGCAATTATTTTTATTAGTATGCCGAGCAACCACTTCATCTTGATCTCCTGTTACTGCTGCATGTTGGTGAAGAAGAACTCCTGTTGCTGAAGATGGAAGCAACACGATGCACTGATCGCACTTGTCTTTGCTGTTGGCAGTAGTAAGTTGTCTGCGCAGGAGTAAAAAACTTAAGAGTAGCTTGAAACAGGAGTAGCCGTAAGAAAAGCAAAGGCTGTTGAGAACCCGACAGTGCTCCTCCTGTGAAAGCAACCTCCGTCATCTTCTTTCCTGTGGAAGCAACCTTCGTAGAGGATCTACACGTCGGATTTGCCACTACATGTTCAACGTGAATACTGAATCACAAGAAGATTCTTAATATTCCTATTCAACCAAATCAAAAAGAGATAACAAGAGATCATGATTAGGATTCAATAGGCAGTTTCTCTTTCTGTAAAACTGCTCTTCTCTCAGCACTCTCTTCAACTGACAACACGCACCAGGACTGCACTCATTCTCACTCGTGCTCCCATTCCTAGTTCTCACCCAAAGACTCCTCGGCTTGAGATTGAGGCACATATTCATATTACTTGAAGATCAACACGTCTATGTATACTTAGGTATACCACTTAAGTAAACTCATCACAAGCCTGCTAGACCATCGTCCTGCACTATCACACAATCCTCCAGAAGGTATGCCAATCTTCAACGTCATGTGACGATGTATTGATAATTGTTCTTTACTTACATGCCGAAGAATAACCCATCCTGGCACGATCTTGTTGAAAAGGTCCTCGTATGACATTATGACCACGCACATCATTATCCGCATTACATCATACTGAGTATATTTTGGTGACAATGAACTGCACACGTTGCTCTTGATGCGAACGGAGTGTCCTTATTAGTCCAGGGAGATGATCATGATGAATGAGTGGTAAAAATGGGGGAACTGTACAAGTCAGTCATGGTGTTGAATAGGAGGTGGTCACGCGCTTGTTATTCTCTATCATGGATGTTCTAAATTCTTATCCACCATGAACACCAGCACCACGTCTCCGTGTGGTTATGACAAGCAAGGTCCTGACCACGCTCCTCTACCCTACTTAGTGTTAGCTTTACTTCTATGACAGACGAAGAATACTTATAGTTATCATATGAAGGGAATACTAATACTAGAATTGATGAACAGGAGTATGTGTATGTGCGTGTGTAACAAGAGCTCTTACTTTCTTGTAGTTCTAGTCAGTCGTGAAAGATGAAGTAAGTACGTCGACTAGAAGTATGGGTTGTACCATTTTTACAACTATAATTTGTAAGATCAAGGCTGAAGATATTGAATTCGAAGGATAGATTGATTGTACAAGATAACATGAATACTGTTTGACGCATCGAGCTGAAGTTGTAATTGTCTATAAACCGAAGTCAGTAGGTTTAGGTATCGAACTCAAATATGACGAAACAAAAATGAAAATTCGAATTGCTGTTAGTTCAAAGTTTGCGAACGTCAGATATCAATTAGCGAGGTTGTAGTTAAGTTGTAAGTGAAGTGAATGAAGAAAAAAATAAACAAGCCACGAGTGCGAAATACTTCTATCCTAGGACTACGACTAGTACTTGATTCTAATTATTGTGCAAGTTGAGCTGCTGTGGTCAAGAAGAAGTACTATCAATATTGCTGAGCTATTGGATTCAGAAGTACTAGAGGAAGTGCTGCGGATGCAACTAGTGCTCTCACTAGCGCGCTTACATCAGCGAAACTACAATGGAACATAACGATTTTTTCTTTGTGTATTTTCGTAGTTGAAGCTCTACGAAACGACTGCCACTGGAAGCCGCTTACATTTCTCAGTGTGTCATTATTACACCCTTGATTTATGGCGCGTAAGCGGGTACGAACTACTCTCGTAGACTCAGAGCCTACTCCTGAGTGACCCAGAGCTAATATCATTTTGCACTGACCACGGGAATAGTGAGTTTGCCTAGAGTTGTAGCTCTTCTTCTCAACAGATCGGTCTTCTAAGTATCCCTACAGTTGTTGACTCAAAAATGATTAATGAGACGCCTCCTTAACTGGAATCTAATGAAAAATTCACACGGATGACGGTGATATTTGCAACTTGGTATATTTCACTTCTTAGCCACGGCCAAGGTCTTTAACAGTCTGAAAAAGAAAAACATTGAGAGTTGTTGGAATTGTTGATGAACGGAACAACGGCAGTACTTCTAGTTATCAACAAACACGCATCTTCGTCAAACGAAATCAAAGGCAAAAACTCAAAAACCATGAAAAGGGAAAATCCAGTAAGGTTTTCTGCACGCACGCAAGACCAAAAACGACGAAGATAAGCCTCTTGTACTCTGCAGCTGCTGCGGAGTCGTGCTAACAGCAGTTGCCTCTCAAGGAAAACCTGTTAGGGATTAAGTGAGGGCATCATCATTGTTATCAGAGGACAACAATTTCTGAGTTTTTAGGGTGAAGAATACAGATCAGTGATTGGAAAATCAAGAACAAAAGCACCCATTGGCCTGTGCCAACTAGAACTAAAGCATGGGTAAGCAAGTACAACTCAAAGAAAGCAAAAAAGGCCCAAAATTATTTACTTAAGTAGGTACCACATCGATCGCCGAACTTTGTCCACCCCCAACTGTGGCTTTTCAGAGAAGCCTCTGATCGCCAGTTGGTTCTTTCGTTGGAATCCTGCTAGAAAAAAGCCTCCTCAAGTGGTGAACAAGTGCTAACGTCGTCGACTACATTAGTACCCATACATTTTTGGCTTGCAGTGGGGTAAACCTGATTTGAGTAGTTGTCTTGCTCGAGAGGTTCCGTGTATTTGAAGAGTCAGCCTCAGAAATAATATTTTCTTTGGTGAATTCATAAACTAAAACTTTAATAAAGGTGACGAATCAATCCGATTTCGATGAATTTAAAAACATAAGACAACTCGTAACAAGTATCGATAATGTGTATAATACTTCTCTCCCATAAATCTGCTTGCTTAGACCATAGCAGCTTTTAGTCCTCCGACCACTTTGTCGATCTTCATCGTGGTAAATCTACACCATGGTCAAAAAAAGAGCCAGCCACTGCTTCCACTGCTCCTCTTTCTCCTACTCCTTCCGGCGAAATAAGGTAACAAGTAAAAGACGAAGTCCTTTCTTGTCTGATGATGATGTGATCGACGTAGACGATGACGGTTTTTCTCTAGTGCCATGTAATGCACTCCCAAAAACCAGCTTAAATCCTAACCGCACCACACTGGTAACTCAACATACTCATCAGCTAGTGCCTCTAGTGCAGCACCAACCAGCTGGCTGCTCCACCTCCTCACTCCTCCTCATTTGCAGCACCAGCTGGCTACTGTTCCACCACCCCCATCCACTCCAGCACTACCTACCACTCCACCTCTGTAGTGCCACCACCTGGCTGCTCCACCTCCTCACTCCTCCTCATTTGCAGCACCACCTGGCTGCTGTTCCACCACCTCCTCCACTCCACTACCTACTACTCCACCTCTGTAGTGCCACCACCTGGCTGCTCCACCTCCTCACTCCTCCTCATTTGCAGCTCTACCTGGCTGCTCCACCACCGCCTCCCCCCCCCTCCTCTACCTACTACTCCACCTCTGTAGTGCCACCACCTCGCTGCTCCACCTCCTCACTCCTCCTTCTTTGCAGCTCCACCTGGTTGCTCCACCACCACCTCCCCCTCCTCCTCTACAAGTGTGTTAGAGTTGGACTCAAGATTTATCGAAGGGCGGGACTTAAGTTCCAGATCTACACGTAGAATTTAGTTTCGCCTGGAGTTATTTTTCCAACGCTAGATGTAGATCATAGCAAGATGACTACTTTTTCCACGACGCTTTTGGGTAAATGCACGAACGCAGTCAGAAAGCGGCCATGATTTCTAGGTAGAAATGGCAATGGCATAAAAAGGAAAAAGGCGGCCTCTATTTAATTTCATTATCAAGAAGTCATACCATAAGTTTTACTTTTCTGTCCAACTCAATCACTGCGACAGGTACGTCGCGTCCTCCTCCTCACCTCCGTCATCGTCATGCACATGCTTTGATACTACTCTCAAAGTAGATGCTGTTGAAGATCTTGCTCTGTAGTCTGAAGATGTGGCGGAGGACGCTGTGTCCTCTCCTGTAGTGGAAGATGAAGATGAGGACGCGACTGGATCAGTTCTTGTTCCTTTTGATGAAGACGATGATACGAATGAAGACCCGCTTTGTGAAAGTCTAGACGGTTCTTGCACATGCGGTTGATCTACTTCGTCAAAGGGGTCCTCCACAACATCCGTCAGCGACGTCTCTAAGAAGGAGTTGTCATGAACAAGAATAACATCGCCGAGGAAAGAAACGTCCAACAGGGACGGGGCATAGTTGGCGCTGGGCATATGAGGACCGCCATCTTCGTCCTTGGGGTTGGTCTCGATTAAGGCAGCCTTCGGCGGCGCCGGCGGCCTTGGGGTTGGTCTCGTCTGAGCAAACCTGGGAAGTGGGACTTTTACTTCAGTCGCTTCCGGTGTCTCCTGAGCCACAAACTATGAATCATACTACGCATCAACAGAAAACGTAAATTACCAGCACAAAAGCCAACAACGTAAAGACCCCCGAGCACCATGACCAACCAAGGAAACAACGAGAGCAAGAAGACCATCGCGACAGCAGCACTAAGACCATCAGCAACAGCACCGTCATCATGAGCAGCAGGGCCAAAGTCTTAACTTAAGGCCTTCCTCTTCAGCGTGTGAAAAAGAAAATCACTCAGATGATGAGAGAGAGTGGAAGAGCGCGAACTAGTGAGTTTGCCCAGTTGGATGGACGACATATAGCCGGGGGAGAGATATCCATAAAATAGCAACAACAGATACAGCAGCCGCCTAATTTCTCCTCTCATCTTTGCCCTGGGCCCGGGCATATTGGCACCAGTCACAAGACAGGGGAGAAATCGCGGACGACGGCGAAGGACGTCATCCAGAACCTTGGCCAATGAGCTACCGCAAGGCCATTCTAGGCCTGGCGCTCTCCTGGCCGCAACATTCATTCTCTCTGAAGTCCCTTACTTTACACGCCGAAGGCCTTAAGTAGACTTTGACCCTGATGACCTTGATGCCGATGGAGGTGGTGCTGCTAATGGTCTTGGCGCTTCTGTCGCCATGGTCCTCTTGCTCCTGTTGTTCCCTTGATCATAATGCTCGCGGGTCTTCACGCTGTTGATGTAAGTGCTGGCAAGTTGATCTGTATGTTGATGCGTAGTATGATTCATAGCGTGGATAGCCCACAGGCAGTGGGAAGTGGGGCCTCTGAATCCTCTGGCGCTAATTCCTGCGCGAACAAGATGAGCAGATGGGCCCCTACTACATCAGAGACTTTCAGCCACGCGCTGCGGGTGTTGCCCCAGCATGAATCACGAAGAAGCTGGCACGTATCTTGGAGAGCCGCTCGCAGAGCATTTTTCGCTGGCTCTGGTATCTTCATCCGACTCCAGACGCCGGCGTCTGACGGATTTTCCATCACCTCGGCCAAGTTAGTCATAAAACCCTCGAGCCCTGCTGTGCTAGCTGGAGCCGGCGGCAAGATTTCTATGTGCTTCAATAAGACAGAGGCGCGACTTCTAGCACCTCCTTCTTGTGCCACTACACCCGGAAAGCGAAACACAGTCGAGGAGTCTTCTACATGAAGAACATTGAAGATCTGGCCACCAAAGCACCCCCACTGGTCTGGCTCTGTTTGTTTCGCCGCCTGTTGTACACGATCAAAGAGGGCGCTGACGGATGGCGAAGTAGAAGTACTAGTATCGACGGCCAATATTTCCAGCTGTTGCGCGCGAAAGCCGGGGCCATCTATTAGGCAAGTGCCGACCTGTTCAGCCTCAACTGACGAGAGGCCTACTCTTTTCCACGACTGATCCTGGCCCTGAGTCAGAGTCTCACCTACTAAAAGTCTTCTCAACGCCGCTTGCTTATCTTGTTTCACGAGCTCCGCCAATTTGCGGTCATCTGGTTCCCACCGCAGAAGAAGTCTACCGGTTCTGAGTTTATATTGATCCAGATCATAGAGAGGCGAAGTCTTGGGTATGAGGGTATCTGGATTCTCCCCTGTATGTATTTCCGCCTGTTTCCACATGCTTTCAACATTCACGCCGCCGTCGCTTTCCGGTTTGCTCGCTGATTCCGTTAGTTCTTGTATCGTAGTAAGATACCGAGACCGGATGTAAACTTCTCCGCGCAGAAAGAAAATCCGCGCTGTGCCAACCATAAACGTATCGCAATGCCGTGCCTGCAGTATTCCGCCGGTCGTTGCGGATGCGGCCGGGACAGAACCAAACTTAGAAAATCCTTATAATGTAGCCGAGTGGCTACAGTTTTGGACGATGTCCTTCACAATCCTCCGCGATGCCACCCCCGTCCTTTGCCTACTGCTAGTCTGCACAAGAACAAGATAAAAACGAGCCCCCCATCTGGTTAAGCTAACTAGATCGCGACCATCTATTTCCACCGTCTAACTGCTCAGCCCCTGCACAGGCTAAAGAGCTCAAGAGCCTTACGAGTTTGACCTTGATGACCTTCATGCTGGTGATGTTGACGGCCTTGGTATTGCTGTCGCATTTTTGCTCTTCTTGCTACTCTTATGCCCTTGATCGTGATGCCCGTGCGCCGTTACGTTGTTGGCCCTAGTGCTCGTACTCGTAGGGTGGTCTTTATGCTCAAGCTTAAGGTGACTCATAATTTTGTGGCCGGCGCTCGGGACTCCCTCACGACTGACAGCAAGAATCTCGCTGAGGCGCGGATCGTGATAGCCAAACGTTCCGGCAACAAAGAAAGAGCCGGAAGAGAGGCGCGCGACTATGAACGCACACCGCTCCGAAGTCAGAGCCTGCAAGCTCACTAAAACGTGCTAGCGTGACGACCATTACCCACGGTCGCCATTGTCAGATGCTGCCGAAAGGGTGCCAACGTGCCGAGTATTGTTCCGGGCTCAAAGTGCCAAGAGCCAGCATTACCGCACTGGCCTTGCCTTAAAAAATGTTAGCACTTTTCAGCGAGCCTGCAGGTTCTGACTTCGGAACAGTGTTCGTTCATAAGTGCCATGCTGACTGGAAGCGCAAAGTCGAAGCCGAACAGCTTTACGTCCCACCAAGCGTCCCACGATGGGCTATTAGAGCTGTCCAGTAGAGATGATCCTTCATCTCCATCTTTGACGGTACTCAAAAAAGGGTAACTAACTAAGTGAGTCTTATTCTTATATATTTATGCATCAGACGAGATGCACTGAGACTCAGAGACGAGTACTTAAGTAGTTGTCTCCAGCCATAAGATCACCAATAAGCAGGATGCTGCCGGGCTTCAAATTGAGGTGTGCATATCCGGCATCGTGAAGTTGCTGCACCCGTACAGCAAACAACTCCCCAGCCCTCAGTCGTATGTTGTTCTCGAACTGCGGTCGCCCTGTGTTGAACGGCTCGTATGAGTGGGCGCCTTGCTTCCAAAAATGACTCAGGAAATAAGAGCCCTAGCTTTTTGCGCGAACGCGCGCAAAGTCGTTAAAGCGATTTCCCAGGTCACTTTTAGAAGCTGTTCACTCATAATGGCTCACCAAGCGCATAGTTGACGAACGTCCCTGTAGGCCGATGCCGTACATGAAAAATGTCGACAACAACTTCCGTCCAGCTTCGTCCTCGAACCTCATCTGAGCGCACATCGTACTGGAAATGCCATCGGACCCATACGAAGTACGTTTCAGCGCAACATGGGCTGCCCGCGACGTCGAGGGCCACACAGGCCGCTTGCAGTGTGTGCCGGAGGTCTCTGCTTCCGCTTGTCGTGGCCCTGGCATTCGCGTTGAGGAGATTACTGACAGCCCCTGGGGACTCAAGCGCGCCTGCATTGTCGATTACGATTCGGAAAGTCTTGCGCGTTATGAGAACAGCAGCTGTCCCCCCCTCTCCTTCTTTACCTCGGACTGGGACGGCTACACTGTCTGCGCGTCTAACAGCCCCACCGAAGAAGTTATTTGCTGGATCTTTCTTGGGGCGCGCTTTTAAAGCTGTGGCGATACAACTCTCATACGCGCGCCAGTCGTTGTCGTCGAACTCCATGGCTTGAAGGAGTTTCTCTGCTGGCTTCGCCCCTTGTGTCAGCACGTCCCCGCGGTCACTCACGAACTGCGCCTGGCCCTGTACGTGCGCTGTGAGGTATTGACAGCGGGCCTCTGTGTCGCGTAATCGAGCTCCACCAGGGTGTTTGAGGCTTGCCCAATAAACCTCGGACGTGTCCACGTCAGAGTTTGCTAAATCGGTCGCGCTTTTTACATCTCCCTCTTGTGGTTCATTCAGGGACCTGGCACACAACGACAAACGCCAAGATCCACCAACAGCGACGGCAGCGGCAATGCGCCGCCCCCATACGCGCCCAAACGCTCTATCCACGTTTGGCGCGCCGCCTCGACTTAGAGGCGAATAGTTCGTGGCCATCCTTGGGCGCTGAGTGATTTCCCAGAAGTGCATAGAACTCCAGTAGCCGTGGCTTCGTTCTAGAGCACACGGATAGAAAAAAATTAGTTTGGAACTGGATACTCCAACCTACCATAAGTCACGCTTCACACCTTTCGAAGCACTTGCCACGATCGCAGCCGAACGCGTTGTCGCAGGGGTTGCGACGTTCCATTTGCGCATCTTGCGGTAGCCATGACGCAAATTCCCCCACGCCGCAGCGCTACTCGTCCAAAGCAGGGCGGTCACCGCCGAGCCAGTCAGCCTGGCAGCATCGAGTAGGCGAAAGAGCGCACTTCGGAGACAGGGCAAGAGTCTGCGCAAGAGCAAAACTAACATCCCACGGCGGCAGTATAGCAGCAACAAGGTGCCAGCGACGAGCCCAAATCCCGCACGGTCTACAGACGAGACTACCAGACTGCTGCGCTTTGACGATGCTGATGGCAGAACCTGTTCTGCTTGTAGGCCAACGTCGTGGCCAGCCATCATCCACACCGCCAACACGAAGAAAGACGCGCACGCCACTGCCATGGCTGCTAAGGAAAAGCCAGGGAGCAGCTCTCCGCGCCGGCATTTTCTCAGAATGGCACACAAATCAGATAGCCGAGGTCGTGGGGCTGTCCGCTTTCGTCCCTGGATGAAGCGCAGGGTGGCCTCATCTGCAGTGCTGCTCTTGGGGGTTACAAGCGTGGCCTTCTTTTCTGATGATTTGTCTGCTGGATAGTTTTTTGATGTGTCTACTAGAGGGGTCCGCTTCGTATCCTTGCGGCGGCCCATGGTGCTTGTTGTGCTAGGATTCCACTCATATACGGGAAGCGAAGAAAATCGATTTGATGTCTTGAGCAGCTTGCCACACTGCTTTTTCGACTCCGGCTTCTTCGACAGAACTCCAAGTCGCGCTTTGCGCCTACTTCCTTTTGTTGTCGCCTGGATTTCCGCGCCGAGTGGTTCGCTGCTTTTTTTAGGCTTAGAGAAGTGGAAATAGAAACGAATAGCGTCTGATGTGCAGTTGACTCTTACTTTCAAACATTTATGTGGTGATGTGCGTTGGTCTTAAATTAAGAGTCCTAATAGGTCTCTACGGGCTAATAGAGTTTCTAACTCTAAGTGTAAAGTCTTCGCGCGTGTGATATAACTACCTTGGTGCTTGTTATATAGGACACCATAATAGCAGTAGCAACAGGAGCAGCGGCTGCCAGTCTATCGCACTCCACTAACATGTAAAAGAGCTCCAAGACGTACATGACCACCACGACCTGACACTGCTCAACGCTGAGGCTCATCGCGTGATCTACTAAAGCCGTCGCCGATGCAGACGCAGAGCCGCTCTGATCATGAAGCTCAGGATCGCTTACTGCCGTAGCGGTCGCGTTGCTGCTAATAGCGGAGTCTTCACCTGGAAGAAAGTAAGCAGGGTAGACAAAGTGATAGTCTGTCTGTGGATTCAGGATGTCTGTTTTTGGAAGATCGACCTAGTTACTTTTGCAGAGAGTTGTTTTTTTAGTCGTGCAAAAGCCACAGTCATGGTAGTTGCAGTACCAAGAACAAGATTGAACAGAATGGCACTAGTATACCAATATCAAGGCCAAGGCGCGGCTGAGGTTTCGGCTTATCAACATCCGCGATGGCCAGTCGAGGTTTGGGAGAAGACCAACAAAATAGAAAACTCAAGCAAGACTGTACTCCGGTGAACCAGTCCACTTCAGTGCGTACTAGGGCAAATAAAGTCATACCTGAAGTGGCAGCATGAAGATGATAGATGGCATACCTGGAGTAGGAACGTGAATTCTTATCAATTTCATTCAACATGAAGCAAGAGACTCATTTTTGCAACTTCAAAAAATGTCTACTGTGGTAATCGTAGTTAGCTCATTAGCTCATTGTGGTTTTGGAAACATACTGACACTAAGAAAGAATACTCGTAGTCTCGTACTCGTTGTGCAAGTCGTAAGGGTGGGTCGACAAGATAAAGAACAAGATCAGGCTAACAAGAGGTTAACTAAGCAATTTCCAAATAAGTAAAAAATAAAACTATAGCCCGAACCCTAGATATTTTAACTAGCTAGTTAGCAAGCGTCTGAGGCAGCCCTGCAGGCGGCCTCCACTTGGAGGCGCGGTTCTGGATCCCTGCAGCCGGTGCCTGGAGCGCGGCCACGAAGTAGACAATGGCCTTCCGATGCAGCTGAAAAGGACCTACTCCAGCCTGGAGAAAGGACCCTCTGAGGCATGACCTCGCGTCGGAACGTGCAGAACCATGGGATCTTGGCGCGATGGTGTTAAGGTCTATAGATTGGAGCAATCTGCACTAATTTCTTGATGGTTGTGGCTACTTTTGATGTTGATGAAGTAAAAAGGAGAAGACTATCTGCGCGCTGTGTCGAAGATTGTGAAAGTCGGCGCTTCTTGAGTGTTGAAGTTGTGCTATCGCGATCCTTGTGGTGTTTGTGAAGTGGTAGTCAACCTCTGTTCTCTGAGTGTCAGCCTGTGATGATACACGATGATCCAAAGCCGAAAAATGATCCACGATGAAGCAACTTCCCTCGTCTGGTCGCTCTATCTGCTTGCTGTTGCTTATCTCCTTGCTTCTTTCTCACGCTGAATCATCCCCATCAATTTCACTGCTCACACCGTAGGACTCTGAGGCATCAACTCGTTCAGTAAGTAGCTCGATACTGCTCTCAAAATAGAAAGAGAGCTACAAGATGCCCGCTCCTCGTGGTAAGGCTGTTGCTGCGGATGATTTCGAAGGCCAATTGCGGGCCAAAAACGAGCGCAAAGGACTAGCTGCCACTATCATGGAGATCAAAATGTTAGAAGAACATCGTGTCAATCTCCTTGCGGAAGAGGGAGGCTTTAAATCGATCTTCAAGCTGAGCAAGCAGGCCTACGTGGGAAAAGCTAGTACGTTTTTACTTCGTGCTGATGAGTGTAGTTGTTAGCTTGCTGCCTGTTGCAGCTCGTTGTGGTTTTAGAAGTTTCAGCTTTATGATTCCAGCTTGGCTCGATGCAAGTTAGACTGTAGCGATCTTCTGCCCTTAAAATTTGCAATCGCAATGATGACCTTCGTTCACCAATCCCAAAAATTAACAGCTTTCAACGACTTGGATATCGACCAAGTTTGTGAACTTCTCGCCTCTTTGACCAAGAAGCGCCTGACCGAAGTCCGTGCCAAGATCACCAGCCTGTCCCAGTTCAAGTGGATTCGCCAAGCGCTCGGAATGGAGGAGCATTCGCCGGCATCGTCTTCATTAGAGTAGTTTAACAACTTGTGACTAGTAGTGTGATTGGAGTAATATAGGCACTTAACTGGTGCTGGATAGCGATTGCGTCGCCGATCATTGTAGTCCTTCATCTACTCTTCAAAATCATTCTTCGTTCTGTTTCTACTAGGCGCAGCAACTTTTTTAGTTCTCCTTTCTCGCTTCTTCCTCTCTCATAATAAACCTCTCCTCCTCGTCCAGGTGCCGAACCAAAAGACCCAGCTCCACAGCGCCCAATGGTTGAACAACGAGTATCCCACCGAGACTCTTCAGTCTGTGTATACGCGTGTGCCGTCTGCCTGCGCCATCGACATGATCATGGCCGGACAGCGCTTCATGGAGACCTATCACCAGATGCAGGCTGCTCAAGCTGGTGGCAACTTTGGCATGCCGGCTCTCGCCAACCAGGCTGCCACGCAAGCCTTGACCTTGGGAGCTGCTAGCGATTCGAACCCGTTGCAGATGTTGCTCGGTATGAAAGGTTCTGGCGGCTCTGGTTCTGGTCAGTTGGCTCTCATGGCTCCGCCCCCGGCCGGTCCGATCGCTCTCCCCGGTTCGTCTTCTTCGTCCGCCGCTGTACTACAATTAGACTTCTTTTTGATACTAGGTAGATTGCTTTCCTGATGACTGTGCTCGTTGGTGTGATCTTCATGATGTGCTTACTTTCTCTCCTTTTCAGGGAGTCGGAAATCACTTTTGAACTAGGACGCTTTATCTAGCATCATCGTGAGCTTCTAGCTACTCGCTCCCTCTAGTCGACAACTCTGCAAGCTACAACAACACTTTCCAAAACTCAAAAACTATTCCTCCCATAAAGTTCGTGATGTCATTCTCCACCTAACACTTCGCAGCTCCCGGCCCTCGCCCCACAGGCCGCTGCTCCCATTCCGGACGTCGTCATGGACGAGACCAACTTCCAGCAAGATGAGACTCTGGTCATGAATGACTCCGACTTCGAAGAAGAGGCGCCAAAGGAAGAGAAGAAGCGCCCGGCTGAAAAGGAGGAGAAGGCCGCCCAGCCGAAGAAGAAGGCCCGCAAGACGAAGAAGTGAGTCGGCTTCTTCGCGGCGCTGCTGGTGGGGGGTTAGAGATGGTGGGCGCATGAGAAACTACAACACTCATTCTTACAGGGCGGGGCTGAGGCCCTACTTATTGAATCCTCATAGAGATAGACGAAGCCACCACGACTAGAGTAGCAGCATCTATGTGTTACTTTATTCACCGCAATAACTTAACTACGGCGCAGCATGAAGAGGCCAAAAGAGTTTGAACTACCCCCATGATGAGTATGTAAGTTTCTAATTGAAAAAATTCAGTACGTAAATACAGCTTTACCCACTAGACGTCTTACGCATAGAAATACAAACTACGACGCTATCTCCTTACTTTTGTTTTTCTTTTTCAGTAATGCCATGCTTTCAATTATTCAGCATTTCCGTCCCCTACTGTATTAGCCTACTCATTTTGAGAATCGCCTGAATTATATCCACGCTCTATTACATTCGCATCATAATTTTTTCAACACTAGGACTCCACTTTGCTCTCCGGGGCGTCTATGTTGTGTCCAACTTTTGCGCTGCTTGCGGCGTAGCAAGAAACCTACCCCGGCTCCACCCCAACCATGTTGTTTGACAGAAAGACGCCGATCGCTTTTCATGGTGTGAAAGCTTCGCGATCGATGGCTTGCTGTCTGCAATTTGACGAACTTCATGATTCTGCTTGGGACTTGTCTGCGGCCTTACGGAGACTGCCGGGCGGAGCTTGTTTTCTTGTTAGATGAAGGACATCAAAACTGAGAGAAGAAGAGGCTCCGAGCGAAGGAGATTTAGAGGGGTAAGACTAAGAGGATGACGAACGAAGATGAAAAAAATGAACGATGGATGCGCTTTAGCAATTGAGAAAGAAAAAGAAGAAATACCACCGAGAGACGAAAACTAAGAGAGAAAAAAGAGAGACTAAGTAAGAAAGATTCTAATATTGAACCTGACTACTTAATGACTTTTGAGATACGTTTCACATAAAAGATGGAGGACGACTTGCTCGGCGATTCTCTGAGCGACGCCTTCGGCGCCTTCGGTCCTGAGCAGCCTTCCGATGCTCCTGATAGTTTGGGTGCCGTCAGTGCTGACTCGGTTGGAGAAGGCGGCGTCGTGGCTGTCGATGCCGTTTCTAATACGCGTCGGCGTGAAATTGTGCCTTGGCACAAGCTGCAGATCGACTCCTCGACTGGTGCCGCTACGTTTAAGCTCAAATGGGCTTTACCGGTGCCCTCGAGCAACGGCGCTGCACAGTGCAAAAAAATCAAGAAGGACCTCGAGAATAAAGGCGCTATCCTTCCAGAGCCGAAGCTCAACGGTGGAGCCAGGGACCTGGTGCGTTTTCTACTTAAGAAGTAGAAGGTGGCTCGTATTAGGTGGCTTCTCTTGCAGCTCTCGTTCATGAACTTTAGATTTGAAGATACGACTACCCACAAGCATCCAAAAAAAAGTACCCCCACGAAGGTCGCTGCTCTCCTGCGCCACAAACTGACGAAGCCTGAAACATATGCGCTTTTTATTCGTGGCTGCCCGTTTCACAGTGCTATCAAGGACCTCTGCGCCGAGAATCACCCAGAGGCGATCAAGATACTGGAGGAGTACATGGAGCGCACTACAAAGATGCTGAGCCCCAACATCGCGGCAAAGAAGGCAGCACTTACCTCGCAGGTGTTTCGATTATGGGCGTTATTTGATGTTGACCGAGTGTAGTGGTTCTTTAGCTTCGTCACGAAGAAATGTCGTGAAAAGTGCCACTTCTAACTTTAAACTCCCCCCTCTCAAAAATTTCCCCCAGCGCTGCATCTTACGCACTTGGATCGCGATGCTTTTAAAGCTACGCCTTCAAGAGTATTTAGATGGCCAGAGGCAGGAGATCCTTGCGCAGTACTTGCGCCGAGACCCCGGCCATGTCTACTCTTCTTACTGGCTGGGCTACGACTACAGTACTACTCGTAAGCGAAAGACTTGGGGAGGAGCAGCACAGACCTAATTTAGCGTTTTTATTTTCGCTTTATATTTTCAAAAGATGCACTAGTAGAAGAAGATGCTAGTAAAGTTATAGTCTATCTCTTATGTGAAGTATACTCTCATCCCTGATGAAAATCTTCGCTCTCCATCCAAGGCCTTCGCGGCTTTTCACCAGAAGCCACAGAAAAAAGCTCAAATCTAAAACATGCCAGATATTCTTCGTGCAGGACGTGGAGCGTGAAGGCTGGCAAGGACCCAAAGAGGAGACCCACTGGGTCCCGCTGCCGATGCAGGATGCGGAGCAGTCCTTCCTGGTCAAGCGGGAATCTCGGGAGTCGACCAGGTACTCCGCGGTTGCTTACCAGGAGGTCATGAAGCTCTCGCTCGGTGCCCAGATTCATGACCAAGTTTGGCGCTCCAACACGTTGAAGTGCGCTGGCGTGGACTTGGAACCATGGAAAAGTGTGGGAACAGAAGACGCTGGCGTCCACACGTGCATGGAATTGCACTCGCTACCCGATCAGGGCTCGTCTGAGTTGCGAGCCATGCAGGCGATCTATCAGTTCTACCCGGGAACGTGGGCGAGCCCCATGGGTCATCGCCTCAGTAACGATGTTCGTGGCCTTCTTCTATGCGTAACAAACTGTTGCGCGGGGTGGCGGAGGTTCTCTATGGGCCCGAGAGGGTCCAGAGAGAACCAGGCGAAGTTTCAAGGTGCAAAAAAGGAACTACTAGAGCGCTCGCAGAAAGTCCCAGCGCCTCCTCTGCTCGAATTCGAGTCCCAGAGGTTGATGCTGTCGCAGATGGATTTATCGTCCCGTGACCAAGCTTATATGAAAGGCGCTCTCTCATTAGATTCTAGTGGGGGTTGCAGTTAAGTCTCTCTTTCTCGCAGTAGGCGTGTAGTCCTATTTTCTAAAAAAGTAAAGGGCTTTTGACGTTTTTCAGGGGCCTCCAGGAGGGGGGTCGTTTTTTTTACTTATTTAAGCATTCTGAAGCTTCAACCGACTAGAATCCAGCTGAGAGCTGAGAGGGAGCAGCTTGATTTTGATAGCATTTTTTGGCAGTTTTTTTTAGAACGTTTTATTCATTAAGTTTTGCATTCTTTTAGATTCTAGTCGTTATTCTAGTCTGAGTGAAAAACTCCTAGTGGGGATTCGCACTATTTTGGTGTAGTCTCTCATATCTTGCCTCCCTTAAGACCTTCTGCAACTCTTTATCCATAAAATACACCCAAACCACTTGCACTAACAGGCGTCGATATTGTGCATGGCACAAACCAGCGGTGGTTTCGCGAATTTTTATTCAGCCGAGGGATGAAAAAGGACTACTATCGCGTCCGCCAGATCTTTGCTGTCATTAAGACGAAGGAGAAGAACAAAACGCCACTAGCAGCTGCTGACGGTGCAGCGCAGCCACTGATGGGCGTCGACGTCGACAGTGAAGACGAGATGGCGCCTCCTCCTGCTGGCTGGATTGGATACGCCAGCGATTTTGATACTCTCCTCCAGAAGTGCAGCCTCGACAAATTCCAGCTGGTGACTGACATCGTTCCACCTCGCTACCGCCTCTATCATCTACTGGAGACGCTAACAGCATGCAGCGGAGACGCGAAACCATTTCAAGATGGGCAGCTTCTCCAAATAGCAAAGAAGTTTCTGGGCGATTCTGTGACGTCTGCTTCTTCTCTCTCGGCGCCGCAGATCATGACCATGCTCGCAAAACGTAGAGCAGAAAGCTGGAAGGTGTTACTTGTCGAGGTGGTGCATGCTGGTTCACTTTCGGATCTTCATGCGGATTGCTCAACTCAAGTATTGAGCAACATCATCAACAACTCGTATTTCGACGCTTACGACCCCCAGTTTGGTCTCCTAGAAGCTGTCTCGCGGGGGAAACTGTCGCTGTCGCCTGCGGAATGCATGAAGCTGGAGAATCTGGTCGACTTTCCGCTGACGTTGACAGCCAAGAGAGGACTCAAGGCGATCTCCCTCGAAGATTGGGAAGCTCTCGATGAGTATGTTGAGCGGCGCACCTTGCCGCAGCCGATCTTCGAGAAGGAGGCGGAGGCACAATGGAAAGAATTTGCACCAGAGCAAGCAGCTCGAAACTCCGCCTCTGCCAGTATGTGGAGCAAGCAGATGTCGCGAGTTCGTGCTGCTCATAGACATCCTCGCTACATCTCTGGCGCCGAGGATATGCGGAAAGCTGAGAATACTACTCGTCCTGTGCACATTGATGAGTACGACGCCGCACTTGATTCTCTTGCTGAGAATGATCTTGACCATGAAGATCTGAGTCCTGCCATCGACGTTGCGAACGAGACTGCGGCTGGGCAAGCAGGTAGTGCGTCGGCTTACAGCACTACGGTAATGCACAAGCTCAAGGACACTGCTGCACGGCGTTGGACTGCAGGGACAACTAATCCCAAGGAGAAAGCTGTAGAACAGGTTGCAGGTAGTGCGGAAGATTTTGTAAGCCACAGTGCGCAACAACTTGGCTTTCGTGGTGGTCGTGCTGTAACTGTTGCGAAAGGACCATGGGAGTCTCTGGATGAGATTCGTTTCCTCGAGGTGATCAGCGAGCGTCTTGCAGCTGAAAAATCATGGCACAGCAAGCCGATTGTCATCCTCCGCATGAACAAGGGAGCCATCAAGTTGACCCGCCGCCGAAAAGGTTGGGTGATGGGCTACGTGCTCCGCTGGGATGAAGAGAACGGGCGCTACTGCCAGCCAAATACAGTAAGTGACGTCCAGTTCATGGTTGGCCTTGGAGCACTATGCGACGTCTACGATGGCAGGATCACGCGCGGGCGTGATCGAGTGAAAAAGTGCTGCTACTACATCTTGGAGGATGGCTTGTGGGTCTCCGCGCGTGTGATACAAGAGCAGTTTTATCTCTCGACCGCTGAAAGCCTTCAGGTGGCATCGCTGGCAGGTCTTCAGCGTGTCTCTCCTGGCCTTTGCACTGAGGACTTAGCAGCACTTCCACCGAGTGAACGTTTCAACATCTTCTGCAACTACAAACGTGGACTCTGTGGTGAAGACGTTGGTCAGCTGGTCCATCAAATGGCGACTCCACAGAGAGAAGTGATCACACGTGGCGGCTTGTTCTCCTTGTCCCCGGGTCACAAGAACCGTGGCGCACTTTGCAACACCGCTGAGGCTGGAGTTCCGATGAGCAGTGCACCACGCCCCAACATCGGCCATGACAGCGGTCTGCGACGACAGCGCCCAGATCTCGTCTATCATCTACTTCGCCGCCAGGAGCTGGGTCAGAAGGTTGTCAGTAATAAGCCAGTAGTGCAGTTTCGTTCCCATAGAACCCGACAGGGAGCTGGTGCAGATAAGGTGCGCCTGCACTGGAATGCTGACTACAGACCAGTCCTCGTCAAGCTGGCGCCGGAAGTTGACTCCACCGGCGACGTTGGCTCGAAGGTGGCGGGTCAGCTGGTGCCCTACGCCGTCGCAGAACTGAAGCTCGAAAGGGAGTCCTGCCAGCTGTATCGCGTTGATGAATGCAGCTCCGGCTTGCTCCAGAATAAGTGCGTCGAGATCCCCATCCCAGATGAAGTCTGGGATACTCTGGAGAAGATGAAAAGCGATTGCGATATGAACTCCCGCAAGACCAAAGCTGCTGCGAGAGCGAAGGTGGCTACGAAGCCTCAGCCGTCGTCCTCGTCTTCTTCAAGCACTTCTGTTGTTAAAGACAAGAACAAGGAAAAAACTAAGACCGTTGCAATGAAGAAACCTAGTGGTAAAAAAGCATCAGCATCCACTTCCTCGAGCTCAAGCAGTTCAACCAAGAAAGTAACTTCGTCTGCGAAAAAATCACGCTTATCTGCGATCCAGGAAGACTACGACAACCTAGATGATCCATTTCTCTAATTTATATTGGTGCGCGTGCATAGTTTAGTAGAGCCACAGTTCTGGCCCCACCTATTTAAGTAAGTACTTTCGTCACGACTAGATATGCTGCCTCTTGAGTAATTTCGTGCACCTGATGTTTTGGATATTAGTTGCACAAGAATGCGGGGCGATTGCCCTCTAGCTTGATGATTGATGAGCAAGAGCGAAAGACTACAATTAGACGCCCCCGACTGTATTACTGACTCCCGCTCTACTAAGCAAGATTCTCCATAAACTTCTTCGACTTTCTCAATTGCTTGGCGCCTGGCATTTGGTCGCAGCTTCCTTTGTTTTGAGACAAGTCAACTGGTGCTACGTGTGACTCTGCGCCTGTGTCTGCTCTAGTTGATGGCTGGCCTATTGTGGTAGACCTAGAGCTGCTACTTGCTGCAGGCTGCTGCGCAGCAGGGACGAGCATGCTTTCTTCTCGGATGATAGACGCGAGCCGCGTGGAGTAGTCGGCCCCTAAAGGGACGTAGAAGGCTTCTAGTATGCCCTTCTCTCGAGGGTATTGCACACCCGGAGCGTTTGGATAGAAGTAGAGACTCTGCCGGCCTTTGAAGTTGTCGGTCCTGAGGTTCAAAAGTCAGCTGAGAGATGTTGTGCGGAGAGTCTGGATTTGAGAGTAATCTGAGTAGGATGTTGTCTGCTTTTCTCACACGCTCCCAAAAGGTGCCCCATTGTGAAAAGACACCCCCTCAAATGGAAAAAATGGACCTTCATCGGGCAAAGCTAAAAGTAGTACTTTCTTTCATCTGGTGCTGCTAGAAAACCTTGCTCGAAAAGAATGCGAGCAGGTATTAAAGCGCTGCCGTGCAGGAGGTCGCTTTCTTTTGTTTTCTTGTCTTCTTTCTGTCGTGCGTGTAGAAGTAGGTAGTCAAAGTCGTGCTTCTGGTAGGCCTTGCCGCTGGCCCTGGTAAAGTTTGCGATGTGAGTAGAGTAACTCTCAGCGCTTCATAAGCAGCAAAGTAATTAGGACTAAGCTTTCTATGGTATGAGTTGAAGCAAAGTGTAAGGCTGTACCTGCGGAGGGACACCTTCAAGGATTGCGGTTTGCCTGCGTGTCGTCTCTCAACGAGCGTCCTTTCCTGCAGCCGGTAGTGAATCGCAGGAGCCTCCGCGAGACTCACGGTGCCATCATAGGACTCGTATTCCCACGCTCCTTGCGTGTATATTAGAGCACTGCCCTGGATTGCGGCCGCGAAGCATCGCCGGATCTGCTTCTCAAGCAGAGTTGCCGGTGAGTAAGCGGCATCTGTATCGAGCTGGTTGTCTTCTACTCCGTGGCCTTCTCTGTACAGCTCCAGCAGCTTCAGGCATAGGCGCTCCCGTGGCATCGTGTATGAAGGCCCCCTAAGGTCAACTCCAGCGTAGTCGTGAGCCTTGTGCACCATGTGATTCAAATTGTTGTGCTGGTCATCAGGTGAAAACCCGAGGAGGACTATGCCGTGTAAGTCTTTCTTTCGAGTAGATAGCGTGTGGCGCTGCTTGCGATACCAGGCGGGAGTCATGTTTAGAGTAGCTTTCTCCTGAATTTGTAGCCACCTGCTGGAGCTGGCGCGTTTTTTTGATCCCAAATCTAAATCTAGTGGCTGAAGAGCGAAATCTGCCACACTTTCTGAGATGTGGCGAATTGCAAAAGTTGATGAAAGAACTTGCTCTAGGTGTTCCCGGCATTGCTTCTCAATATCTCGGGGGCGATGCCCCATTTTCTTCCTAAATGAGGCGGGCTATTCATGTTCTGTCTGAGGTCAAAAATCTGGGGCGTTGAGGAATCCCTATGAACGAGCTGTCCTGCTGTTGAGTGCAGTTAGATCTACCTCCATCGTCACCTATTTCATCATAGTCGTTCTTGCCTCGAGCTTGGCTGGATCGAAATCGAATGACGCTCGTACTCGCACGATCTAAACCATCGAATTCAACGCCAGGATCTTCGTCATTTGTCGCCCTCACTCGTAGGCAATCAAGTAGAAATCTCCTTGCTCTCGTCCTCTGCAGTAGACTGGATCAGATGCTAATTCTTGCCCTCTCAATCACAGAACAGGAGTATCGCAAATTTTTGATTTTTGTAGTACTAGAGTAGAAGAAGGATGTCCTCTTGGCGACCCTCCGATCGGCCTGCGAAGCGTTCCGACACGAGGTCAGGCGAAAGCGAGCCCTTTTTCCAGGGTAGAGCAGCTCCTTTTCAGCTGCACCCGCAGGCCAGCGTCTCCCTTGTGGCTAGCCCACAGTCGCCAGCTGCAGGGCTCCGAGATCGCGCTGGAGGTGGAGGCTGCCAGCAGGGCTGCCTCAGACGCTTGTTAACTAGCTAATTAAAGTAGCTAGGGTTCGGGCTATAGTTCTATTTTTTACTTTTATGGAAATTGCTTAGTTAACCTCTTCATACAGGCTCAGGGTATAAGTACATAAATCAGAGAGCGGCAGACCCATCTGAGCCAGCTGTCCGTAGATGATAGCAAGAGCCAACCAGAGGCACCCATCTTTGGGCATGTAGTGCTCGCCAGAAATCAAACCCATTCCTCCTCCTCGGGCATCGCTTTTCAAGAAGAAAGCGGTGCCGGCGTTAGTACCTGGGAGCAGGTTGGTAATTTGTACATTGACTGTGGTCATGTGGATGACGGAGCAATAATATTGTGACGAAGAGGACAAGGTCTATAAGTATTCAAATCTGGTAAAGAGCAGTAGTTGCTAGTTTGTTGAAGAGACACGACCCCTACACTATTTTTACTAGTGGAAGAGTCACTACGTCCTCTAACTCTAGAACGTCCTCTAGAAGATAACAATACCACGAGCGCAGCCATCATTAAGCAGCTGCTGCTTCTTCTTCTTCTGCTGCTGCTGGAGCAACCCGCCATCCACGTCCAGCATTTTGTCTGTCCAAAGGTCGCTCTGCTGCAGCTGCTGCAGCAACCCGCCATCCACGTCCAGCATTTTGTCTGTCCAAAGGTTGCTCTGTTGCTGCTGCAGCAACCCGCCATCCACGTCCAGCATTTTGTCTGTCCAAAGGTTGCTCTGTTGCTGCTGCAGCAACCCGCCATCCACGTCCAGCATTTTGTCTGTCCCAAGGTTGCTCTGCTGCCGCTGCGGCAACCTGCCATCCACGTCCAGCATTTTGTCTGTCCGAAGGTTGCTTTGTTGCTGCTGCAGCAACCCGCCATCCACGTCCAGCATTTTGTCTGTCCAAAGGTTGCTCTGCTGCCGCTGCAGCAACCTGCCATCCACGTCCAGCATTTTGTCTGTCCAAAAAGTTGCTCCTTATTTGCCCTCCTTTGCAGCTATATTGTTCTAGTCCTTCTCCTTTCTGAAGACGGTCCCCGTTTGTAGTAGAAGACGTAGCTCCTTGCTGTTGTTGTTGTTGGTCTTGTACCACAGCCACAGCCTCTGCTAATATTGTTGCAGTTGTACTGGTAGAGATGATGACGGTGCTGCAACTTACTATAGTCTTATGCTGTTGAGGAAGTTGAAGATGGAGGGTTTTAACTTTATTTAGCAGTTTTGCTTTTGTACGAAGTCGAAGTAGTGTAAGTGTTGCTTCGTGCGCAAGCACCAAACAGATACTCACGTTCGTTGCAGTCTCACATGTAGTAAAGTCAGTGCAAGTATTAACCTGAAAAAGCTAGCCAAGACTAGTTACGACAAGTAACAAGTCTTGTGACTGACTCGTACAGGAAATATTAAGCCCTAAAAAATTTCACATCCAATTTCATGATCAAGATGAGCATTACCTCGATAAGGGTAAGTAAGGACATTCATCAATCAAATGTGCAGCACTGTTTTCGTGACGAGTATCTCTCGATGAAGTGCAGGCTGAAGAGGCTTCTCATCAATTTTCACCTTCACTAGTATCACTCTTTTCGTCTATTTGTCGTCAAGATCATCGTATGTTGCATCCTACTCTCCCTCTCGGTCTCTCCGTGTCCGTTTCGCGGACGTGCAGCAGACGAGTTACAACTACGTCCTCACAGATCTCCCAGCAAAGCAACACCATGCATGATAATACTGACGATCAGCGCCATGGTCAGCATCGTCATGATCAAGTCCTCCTCTTCCTAGACTTTCTCCATCAAGACCGGACTTTCTTTCTCTCAAAATCTAAACTTTTATAACAAGAGGGCACCAACATGAACATCAAAGCATCTTCAGTAGCAAGGATAGAACGACAAGATTACTTCTGATTTTATGTTGAAGTGAGAAATGAGAGGAGGTAGACCACCTACAAACATCATATAGCGGACTAGTAAACAGACTTTGGCACACGACATCAGATTGTAGACCGTATCATGGAAACACGACACGCAGCTTCTACCATCGTGAACTTCATCGTGATCATGTGACTATTATTTCGAAAGTAACTAGTACTACTACACTTTTAATATGTTACAAGTACATTTTGACTTTTGTTGAAGTATCAGATAAAGGGCCGCCGCATTGTGCTGACCAAAGGCTTAGGTCACTAAAAGTACTTTTATGATAAACAAGTGTAACAACTAGTTCTACGATGTGTCACTACTATGATAAATATTAACGCCACGTGGTGTGTGCCCCTGATTATATGGCCCTTCGCGACCATCGTAGAGACAAATGATAAATGACTAGTCTCAGTAGTAGTAGTTGTACTATCATTATAATGATGAAAAAGAACAGTCAGAAGCGTGGCCACTTTGACTTTCGCCGGCACTAAATGATAAATAAGCGTAACTATCTCAGAGCCAACTGCGCAGCTCCAGCTTCTTTCATGTCGAAGCAGAATTATGCGGAGAACGAACGAAGACACGCGCACAGGTCTGCTGTGGAACAAGAATCAATCTGCAGCGGTTGCAGGTTCTTGAGTTCTTACTTCTTTGCTTGTTAGTTCCTTGACGTTGTGCACAAACTTGCCAAACTTCACACCACTGACGCAAGGCCTAAACTGTTCAATCAACGTTTTTGGTATTCATGTCCAAGGTGGGAAATCGCATGGCATTAGTTGGATGCCCATGCTGTTACTCTTCAGGTGCCAACTGTCTCGCTCGCTTTTGTGCTTCATCATGCTCAGAAACTTGCAGAGTATTGCAGTCACATACTTCGAACATCTTGCCAATTCAATGCCTTGGCTTTCTTGTTTGATCTTCTTCTTTCATGGTGCAACAATTGCGCTCGTCTTATTCGCAACAGCCTCCCCATACTCCAAAGCTTCTGAGTCCATCGCTTTGCTCGTCTCTTCAGATTCATCTTATTTTCGTAACGGCTTCTTCTGCTTTCTTCACGTACTGAGGGACGCCCTGTATTTGTAGGGTTGGGGCGTTTTTTGGTCGGAAAGGTTGTTATACTTTTCTCAACTAGAGTCTTCAACTTTCGTAAAAAAGAGCCGTAGCCCCTTCTTACATAAGAGCTGAGCTGTAGCTTCGTCCTAAATGGAAGGGAACACTAGGAGGCCTTAAATCTCAATCACTTGGCTGAGTCTCAAGAAATCAAAGAAATCTGCGCCAGTAGTTACTTTAGTAAGTCCGTTTGACTTGTTCAGTTTGGTACTGTGCCAAATTGGTTTTATGAGTCGTCTAGTACAGAAGTCCTCAGTCATAGCATCCCTGACGTCGATGCGTTTCAATCGACTAGCAACTCCAGCCTTTTTCTCTGAATATTTGATCGATCCAGAGTTGTCGCATCCTAACTCAACTGGTAGCACTATAGATGACTCATCAAAGAATTGAGTCCAGAATGGTCTCAAACTTGCCAAGACGTAGCGAAACCCCATAGCCATCCTCGCGGCTTCTGACATCCCACACGGCTCAGCTTCGCTGACACTACTAGCAGCACTATGCTGACTAGCGCTTTCCCAGGCAATAGGGTTCCCGTTGAGATTGATCGCTATGCCTGAGATTGAGCGTCTATCACCAAAGGGCGCCCAGTCGCTGTCTGGCCAAGCTGTAAGGATGAGCTTTCCCCTGAACTCATGTGAACGGTTTTTATAAGTACATCAAAGGTCTTCGCGTTCGCAAGTATCTGATAATCCTTTTCAAGCTTGCTAAGCTTTCCTCAGTTGCTTCCACTTTCGCGCACGTCTTCAATGGCACTACGGTGTCTAATCTTGTTAGACACAAGTATTGCAAACTTCCCGTAAGTTCCTGCTTAGCCTTCAACAAGCTAGGCACTTCAGGCAAGCCAATACTTGGAGCGCTTTCCATTGGTGTGCTCGCCTTCTTTCCACTATCCCCGCCAAAGCGCTCAAGTAGTTTGCTTACGTAGGCGCCTTGGGATAGTGTTACGTTACCACTTCGCTTGCACTCATGTAACTCTATTCCGAGAATGTCAAAGATCCTAAGAGTAGCAGTCTCCCGCACTGGCTCTGGTTGAAGCTTAAGTGCGGGCTGCGTCTCATTATGTACGACCATGACTGCTTCCCTCATTCCAAAGAAATAGAAGCTATCCACAAAGACGCACAGTGAAGCTCCTCGCTTAGTCCCAAGCGTGCTCTCTAGTGGGTTTTGATTCCAGCCAAACTGCGTGGGAGTTTTATCTCGATGCGTTTCCCAGGCTTTAGAAGACAATCCCAGCCCGTTCATAGCATACTTGACCTTTCCCAACTTGTATCCAAGGAGTTCTGCTAGCCTGTGGCCTAGTTCGGTGACAACTGGCACGGGATATGGAGCTTGGAGAAGTGCACTTGTGGCATCGGAAGGACAAAGAAAGACGAAAACCGATGGACTTTGGCACTTCATAGCAACGAGCATGCGCAAGATCGCTAGATCAAGCACAGAGGCATACCCGCCTTCGTTGCCAGGAATTTTGTCCAAGAAACCAAGACACGCGATCCGTGCTTTTTTCCTGCCACATCTCTTCACACTTAGGTTAGTAGCATCTTACGAGGGACGTCCCTGCTTCCTGTTTTCTTCCAGTTTCTCGGATCTTCGTCTGTTGCTCTTCCAAACGCATGGGAATGCGCCTTCCGCTCTTTCTTAGTAGCTTCTTGCCATTCTGGTGTAGAAGTGTCAAAGCCAGACCCATGGTCTGGGATAGCCACAGCTTTGAATACTTTCTCACCTGGCTCCCAATCATCACAAACGAGCGGGGCAACGACCGCAAGCAGTCCAAGCTCGTTGTGGATTGTCTTCTTCAAGTCGTCGCTGTTCTTCACTTTCTCACACACACTCGACGCTACTTTTTCGAGTTGTTGCTTCTTGGGGTCCGAATGCTCTGGCTGCGCCATGATGATACCATATCCCAGATCTGCTCAAGAGCACTCTCTCGCGCTTCTTTCTTCTTCTTCCAGGCGCCTCTTACTCCTGCCGGCACTTCCTCCTTCTCCCGCACTTCTCTTAGCTTTTTAGCTTCTTTCGCTTTCAAGTCCTCAAAGACTTTGCCTGTGTAGCTTTTCGCCAGCCTGAACCCTTTTGATGGCAAGACTTCATCTTGCTCGCGTTGCGAAGGAGTAGCGCCCTTATCCCCGCCAGAATCGGCATCCTCTGCCGACCCATCATGTGGAGTAGGATTCGGGTCTCACCCGGCACCCGCTCGGCATGATCTGCTTCTTCAAAAAGCTCTAAGCCTTTTTCTTCATCGGGGCACGCAGGTCCAGGCGAATGTGGCCCGTCTTTTCCAATCTTCATCTGGGTGGCTTGTTCAACAAGCTCGCCACTTCTGGTCTCCTTCTGCTCACTTGGTGGAACGTTGTGAGTCTTGTACAGTACGCGGAGAAGCTGCGGAGGAAGGCCCATCCCATCAAGCGCTAGGCGCTGTCTCGCATGAGATTCATGCACTCGCTTGAAGCATCCATCGTAGTCGACTATAAATGTCAGACTATCCTTGCTCACTTGTCTGAAGATCAACTTTGCAGGTCCCATCCATGCCTGTTTTTCCTTGTCGTAAATGTCTACCAGATGCCCAACTTCCAGACAAGCCGACTCTGGATAGGCATTGCGCTGTCTCTCGGCCAACTTCTTCACCTCTTCGGTGGTCTTCTTGTCGTATTTCCAGGCTTCAACTTCTTGCCTTGCCTTCATCCTTATAATTTGACCTGCTTCGGGGTCTAGTTTATGCAACAGGGCCAGTTGCTGGGTCGTCATATCTTCAGGACAGTCTAGCTCCATCTTCCATGGGTTTATAGCCCACTGAACCATATAAGGGCATAGCCCTTGAAGTGACTTAGTAGGAGCAGCGTTAGTCGCGTTTGCCGTCTGTTCAACTAGCCTCGGGATTATGCTGGCTCTCTGTCCATATATGTAGTAGAGCTTGCGCAAAACTCCGCGTAAGGATCTGTGTCGACGTTCACAGATACCGCTAACCCAACTAGATTTAGGGACTAAGAGTAGGCCAATACTACTCAGTTGACAATACTCCCTCACCTCATGACTGTCAAACTCCTTACCCTGGTCGCACAAAATGCCACGCCCTAAGAGTCCTCGAGTTTTGCACGTCTCTAGGAACTCTACCGCGTCCTTTCCCTTGACGCCACTTCTAGGCAAGGTCTTAGTTTGTTACACTAGCCCGACTGAGCAAGTTAATACCATGCAAGACAGCACAATCCTCACCGAGGGGAAGGAACGTGCCAAAAGAGGCCCAATCGTGCAGACTTGCTGCGTCGATTCCTCCTGACCTGTGGCGCGGAAGCGCGTGCGTTTTTAGCCTGTTAAGGTTATGTCTACAGAAGTGAACTACCCAGGCTTTAGCCTGTGGAGAGTTGTCGACTGCGCTGACGACTTCCCGCAATTTCTGAAATGTCGGAAAGGCTAAGCTAGCCCCTATATTGCAGGCATGCTCGTAGCTGATCTTCGGCCTAGGATAAGCCGCAGGTGGGTCCAACTTTCGACGCTTCGCCGCTGGTCGTATCCTTTTAGTATCCGAGTCACTACCCACGTTAGCTTTTCTCTTTTTCTTTGGCTTCTTCTTCTTCTTCTTGTTACTTTTTCCCTCTTCATTTGAGTCTTCTCGCTCATTAGTGCTCTCCAGCTCTATCCCTTCATAACCAGGGCCATCTACCACTTCGTCTTCTTCTACTTCATTTCCAGCGTCATCATCAAGATCGTAGTCTTCTTCCTCGCCTTCTGTTCTTCCTTTTGAGCTACGCCGACACTACTGCAGTCGCTATCGCTTCCGAAGTTGACTGTATCCAGTAGGCCCGTGCTCTTCACTTCGTCCATCAGTCGAGTTTTCTCTTTCGCTTCTTTTATCTCTTCGCCAGTTATCTCAAACGTCCTCCACAGAGGGTCTCCATCAGGTCCGCCTTGGACTGAGCCTCCTTCATCGAGATAAGCATAAGTGGAGAGGATTCCGACTCTCCTTTCCGCCTCATCTGAGAAGTTCGAGAACAGCAAGACGACCCCCTTCTTCCTATTATGGACCACTTCGTTTATAGTCTCTTGCCCTGTGAGATTATCCAAGTCTACTTCATAGCAAGATAATCTCTCTTCCAAGTTTAGTCCAACTTTACAACCAAAGCTATCATAGGATAAGCGCCAGAGATTCTCCAGGAATTCGGCCGCGGTTGTGACCAAGACAGTATCCCGCGTCTCACTTGTCGGGTAGAACGGCGGCCGTACCTGTAGCACGCCTTCCCTTATCTCCATCCGATAGCTATCCACGAACTTATTGTGCGTAAGATCAATCGGAATCCCATTCGTGAGGCATAGCGAAACGCTGACCAAGATCTTTGGTCCCAACGATGGCACGTGGCAAACGTTCGAAAACTTGAAACACAGCCCACGCATCGATCCCTTTTGGCGAGATTCAACCGGATCCACGCCAGCTGTTTGAAACTGTCGAAGCTCGAACGCTTTGTCAAGCAACAAGCTAGAATCGCCACACATGTGCTTACTCGCGCCTGAATCGATGATGCACGACCATCGAAGTTGCGTGCCGTTTTCGGTCGTAGTTGCGGGCGTTCTGCTGTCGTTCACGTTGAAAGCGCTACCAGCTAGCGGCGTAGTAGTGCTAGGCGTTGCCAGTGGGTTGTCTGACGTAGACTCGAAGACGAGACCACTGAAGGACTGCTGTCCTGATCCCATATTGGCACTCACATGCTGACCCCAGTCATATGCTTCACTCTGGTTCACATAGTTAGCATGCTGCTGCTGGTGACCTTGTTGCTGTGCTACAGGTTGCTGCGCCTGTTGCTGTTGTTGAGCACTTTGATGATGTTGCTGCTGCTGATGTGCATAGAACACTTGGGGCGGGTTCACATTCATCATAGCGGGACTTTGGCGCGGCTGATTCCAGAACGCTGGTTGCTGGAGGTGGTTGCTAGGTGGGTGCTGATTGTGCTGATTTCCACCTTTGCCACCATTCCACTGAGCACCGGCATAATTTTGAGAATTCGGATTCCACCTGCCGTCGATCGAAATATGGCCTGACTTTTGGCAAATGTGACATGTGCGAGGCTCCTTGCCTTTTCCGCCCTTGTTGCTATGGTGGTTCTTGCTCGACTTGCCACCTTTCTGCTGATATGGCTGCTGATTTTTGCCACCACTAAAATACGCACTAGAAGGCGCGAAGTTCGAATGCAAACTGTGACCGTTGACATCTAACGCGGTGCCAGATGCTGCCGGAGGCTCTCCTGTGGACAGCTTCTCTGCTTTACTAACCGCTTCAGCCAATTTCGACCCTGAAGATGGATTGTCTTGGATGATCGTCGACTTTGCTACGCCACAAGTTTGGCGCTGAGCCATACGACAAAGCTCGGCGCCACTGATCACACCAGGCTGCATTACGCACTGCGCCCCTTGAAACCTCTTGAACCGCGCAGATGGTCGCTCGTTTCTGCCTTGTTTTGTCCCTTCGAGGTCCGTGCGTTGCATCTCCTCTGACTTGTTCTCACTACGTACGGTAGAGATAGACGACCTTCGTCAGCTTGTCTTTGTGTGATCGTATACAAGTGCCCTCTGCTCGCTCCTTGGTCTCCGTATATTTTTGGAGAATGTCCGCTACTTCGATCTTGCCCTCGATACAGTCTAAGACTTTGGAAGCGTGGCACTTCTTGGCTGCTCGTGCTAAGTATCGCCCGAATGATGGCGCGGATGATTTGTGCGGTGGAATCTTGCTCATGTTGTTATCCTTGTTGCTAGAAGATGCACTCTCGCTCTTCTTCTTGTGGCTTTTCTTCTTGGCCGTTCTCTTCGTGAGTTGCTTCAAGATCTTGGCGGATATGAGCGCCTCCTTGTGAGATGGAGATGACTCCTTAACCTTCTTGCTCTTCTTCTTGTTCTTCTTGCCTTTCGGGCTCTTCTTCGGATCCTCGTCGCCTTCTTCTGATTCGGAGGCAGATGATGAATCTTCGTCAGATGATGGGCTAGAACTTTCACCATCAGAGTCCGAGTCGGATGATGAACTTTCGTCGACGGACATGTCTTCAGATGTTGAAAGTAGGTCTGGAAGGTCTACCTCAGCATCTTTCTTCTTCTTGTTTTTCTTAGTAGCAGGCTCTAACGCGCCTGCTTCGCTAGGGAACACTTGGCCACTCTGATGAAGATCGTCACTGGCCTTCTTGTCTTCGAACACTGGGGCGCCTGTTGCTGGCCCCTTCTAAACATCCACGATTTCGGATGCGGCTGCTGTAACTGGCTCGGTGTCATGTGCTGGATCTGCATCTTCTTGCTTGTCACTAGTTGCTTCGCCAGCGGCACTTGTTGAAGAAGTTGCCACGCCACTACTAGCGCTCGCCTGTGGTTGAGCATCTTTCTCGTCGCGCTTCTTTCGCTGCTTTTTCGACAAGGCGGCGCCTCCTCCTGCTGCTGCTTGTTCGCTAGCAGTCCCCACCCCGAATCAGAATCGAATAGCAAAGGAAGCCAGACAAATTAATGGGCCCAAGACTCTACGGATTTGGGCCCATAACTCTGTCGAAACAGAATTACGCGGAGAACGAACGAAGACACGAGCACAGCTTTGCTGTGGGACGAGAATCAGCCTGCAGCGGTTGCAAGTTCTTGGGTTCTTACTTCTTTGCTTGTTGGTTCCTCAACGTTGTGCACAAACTTACCAAACTTCATGCCACTGACTCAAGGCCTAAGCTGTTCAATCAACGCTTTTGGTATTCATGTCCAAGGTGGTAAATGGCACGGCATTAGTTGGATGCTCATGCTGTTACTCTTCAGGTGTCAGCTGTCTCGCTCGCTTTTGCGCTTCATCATGCTCAGAAACTTGCAGGGTTTTGCATTCACATACTTCGAACATCTTGCCAATTCAATGCCTTGGCTTTCTTGTTTGATCTTCTTCTTTCATGGTGCAACAATTGAACTCGTCTTATTCGCAACAAATTCCTAAACCTGAGCCAGAGTTGATTCTTTGACAATCGCCAGGATTGTTCTAGAATCCACGAGAGTCATCATGTCCTAGTAAAGAAGCAGCATCCCCTTAATCGTCCAAGCCAGCGGCTTCTTCGTTTTCACCTCTTATTCCACTGGGTGTCGCCCCTGGTGAGTAGCCACTTGTGGCGTGGATCGACAACCTCGCTTCGATCATCTACAGAACAGTATGAGCTTGAGCTAGTTAGTTAGTTACTATAGGACGCCTGGCGGTGCTCCAACATCATGCAGCCCGAGAGTCATACGCGGGGCCCGATCAGTCCGCCGGTGTTAGTATGGTCGAGATTCGTAGCCATAACACGGGAACGCGATGCAGCGGCCAGCCCGCCCAGGACAGTCGCGACCCAACAGGGACCAAAAGGGCGCGGCATCCGGGCCAAGACGGAAGGCTACGCCTCACGTCACGCAGAGGGCCGGCTTAAGGATGCAGCGCTAGTGCAACTGCGGGAGTCTGTGCGAGACTCGCGAAAGGCGCGCCGTTCGAAGGCGACCAAGTCGAGGATGATGGCGGTGAAGAGGTGCCAAGGCGGAAGCGAGTCAGGATCCGAGGGACTGAGGAGCGCGGAGCTTTGGAGGAGCAGACGCTTTACTTCGCGGCTGAGTGCTCTACAGCTAAGAAAAGCCGCTCAAAGGACCTGACCAGTTCCCTCGCCACAGAGAGTCACCGCGGACCGGAGTGTCTCTACCTGCGCAACCTTGTCAGTGTGTCAAGACAGTAGGGGAGCCCCACTAAACAGATAGAGAGTCTGCACTCAGCTCGCGCGCGGCAAACGCAACAGAAGGGAGGGATTGCCCCACTTCTCGCGGGTCATGCTCAACTGAAGATCTCTCGCGCGCCGCGGCCAGTGCGCGCCATGCTCAACAGAAGGCACGGATGAGCTCATCTCTACGGAAGATCTCTCTCGCATCACGCTCAACAGAGCGGGGGGATGTGCTCACCACTCTCGCGCCACGCAGTGGCGCCTTGTGGTAATTTGGCAGCACTCTGCCTCCCGTTACCCATTTAAGGAAGACGGGCATGAGCTTGAACTTGGTATGAACATTGTGAAAATGAGTCCAAATCTAGTACAGAATATATTTTCTCGACACTTGTGCTACGTTTTTTCATCTCCTCTCATTTTCCACCATCATCTTCTTCCACCACCACAGACTATGAGCATAAAGCCCTTGCTCTTGTTGGTATGTTTTTTTGATACCCTGCTACAACACGGCGTGGTATCTTTTTTGTTACCCTACAGCTAGAGCTACACGGTGTTGAAGTAGCAAATAGTTGGTGTGCTATCTTCTCTATCTATCATGGTGTAGTTGAAGTAACAAGTAGTTGATGTACTATCATGACTCTGAGGACATTGACTACAAGCAAGAGCAACCAGGAAAAATAAACTCATGTAGCTAGTAGTCATTCTTGGCAAGTCGCTCCTTGCAATTGCAAGTCGCTCTTTGCAAGAGCCCGCTCATTACTGCAAGAGCCCGCTCTTGATTGCAAGAGCCCGCTCTTTGCAAGAACCCGTTCTCTCTTACTCTATTTTACCAGAAAGAACCCGCTCTCTCTTACTCTATCTTAGTACTAGTAAAGACAACAGCATAACTTTTCAGCGAAGAAGTTGAAAATCTTCGACCGGACGTCTTCGAATTCGGGATGCGTCTTCCGAAGGTATTGGAACCAACGCCCCATTGTTAGAGGTGTGGCATCCTCCTAGCTAGGTGAGCTTCTTCTTTTCAAGAACTTCTGCTGAGAAGAAGAAGAACCTCCTTGGGAGTGATTTAAATAGTATCCTTGGAAAGGTCATTTTTTCAAGTAGAAGAAGAATCCTAGAGCAGTAGCGTATTCAATTAGAAGAAGATCCCATCGAGCCCTACCGTCGTAGTAATAGTCAAGTGGTGGAATGGTTGGCTCCATCTTTTCATCTAGAAGAAGAGACAGGGATGAATGTTTTCCACCCATTGAGAATGCCAATATGGGAATGTCGTCCCCTCTTCGCCTTCTTAGCTACGAACAACATTCTCATATCTTCGTTCTCAATAAGTTTAAGTGGCATCATACAAGGGATCGTGTTGTAGTTAAGGACATGCTTTAGCGGTAGCCACACTAGAGGACGGGATAAAGAAGGAAGTTATGGGAGTGATTTCGGTAGCAGATGTTTCCGATGATTTGAGGGGTGGTCTCTGAGGGCCACACCCCTCAACGGGCTTGCCAATATATTTATATATTACGTTACGTACTTGAGCTTGTCTTTACTGTAGTTGGCAGTATTAAGTGGTGCAGGAGTAAACTTAAGAGTAGCTTGAAACAGGAGTAGCCGTAACAAAAGCAAAGGCTGCTGAGAACTACCCGACACTGCTCCTCCTGCGAAAGCAACCTCCGTCATCTTCTTTACTGTGGAAGCAACCTCCTGCGAAAGCAACACTCGTAGAGGATCTACATGTCGGATTTACCACTACATTTTCAACGTGAGTCACCAAAAGATTCTTGGTATTCCTATTCGCCTCTCTTCCATAAAGTATACTTATACTGAAACTAGGCCATCATCGTCATGTCCTGTTTCTTGATCGGAAATGATCAACCTTAGGCAGTCTCTGTAATAAAACTACTCTTCTCCCAGCAGCACTCTCTTCAACTGACAACACGCACCAGGACTGCACTCATTCTCACGACACTCGTGCTCCCATTCCTAATTATCACCCGAAGACTCCTCGGCTTGAGATCTTGGCATATACTTGATCAACACTTCGATAAGAAGTACATCACAAGCCTGCTAGATCATCGGTCCTGTATCGCACAATCCTCCACCAGGTATGCATATTCGCTTCACGACGTTCACTATCAAGCTTCGCCGTCAATCTTCATGTGACGTATTGATAATTGTTCTTTTCTTACATTCCGAAGAATTACCTCTCCTGTGACGATCTTGAAAAGGTCCTCGTATGACATTATGACCACGCACGTCATTATCCGCATTACATCATACTGAGTACATTTTGGTGACAATGAACTGTACACGTTGCTCTTGATGCGAAGGGAGTGTCCTTGTTAGTCCAGGGAAATGATCATGATGAATGAGTGGTAAAAATGGGGGAACTGTACAAGTCCGTCATGGTGTTGAATAGGAGGTGGTCACGCGCTTGTTATTCTCTATCATGGATGATTTGAATTCTTATCCACCATGAACACCAGCACCACGTCTCCGTGTGGCTATGACAAGCAAGGTCCTGACCACGCTCTTCTACCCTACTTAGTGTTAGTTTTACTTCTATGACAGACGAAGAATACTTATACTATGAAGGGCATACTACTACTAGAGTTGAGGAGCCGGAGTATGTGCGTGTGTAACAAGAGCTCTTACTTTCTTGTAGTTCTAGTCAGTCGTGAAAGATGAAATACGTACGTCGACTAGAAGTATGGGCTGTACCATTTTTACAAGTAAATAATTTGTAAGATCAAGGTTGAAGATATTGAATTCGAAGGATAGACTGATTGTACAAGATAACATGAATACTGTTTGACGCATCGAGCTGAAGTTGTAATTGTCTATAAACCGAAGTCAGTAGGTTTAGGTATCATACTCAAATGTGACGAAACAAAAATGAAAATCAAAATTGCTGTTAGTTCAAAGTTTGCGAACGTCAGATATCAATTAGCGAGGTTGTAGTTAAGTTGTAAGTGAAGTGAATGAAGAAAAAAATAAACAAGCCACGAGTGCGAAATACTTCTACCCTAGGACTACGACTACTACTTGATTCTAATTATTGTGCAAGTTGAGCTGCTGTGGTCAAGAAGTACTATCAATATTGCTGAGCTATTGGATTCAGAATAGGCTTTCACTAGCGCGCTTACATCAGCGAAACTACAATAGAACATAGCGATTTTTTCTTTGTGTATTTTCGGAATTGAAGCTCTATTATACTCGGACGAAACGACTGCCACTGGAAGCCGCTTACATTTCTCAGTGTCTCATTATTACACCCTTGATTTATGGCACGTAAGCGGGTACGAACTACTCTCGTAGACTCAAAGCCTACTCCTCAGTGACCCAGAGGTCTTATCATTTTGCACTGACCACGGGAATAGTGAGTTTGCCTAGAGTTGTAGCTCTTCTTCTCAGTAGATCATCGGTCTTCTAAGTATCCCCGAGGGAGTTGTTGACTCAATGATTAATGAGACGGGTCCTTAACTGGAATCTGATGAAAAGTTCACACGGGTGATATTTGCAACTTGATATATTTCACTTCTTAGCCACGGCCAAGGTCTTTAACAGTCTGAAAAAGAAAAACATTGAGATTTGTTGGAATTGTTGATGAACGGAACAACGGCAGTACTAATTATAAACAAACACGCATCTTCGTCAAACGAAAAGGCAAAAACTCAAAAACCATGAAAAGGGAAAATCCGGCATCGTTTGCTGCACGCACGCAAGACCAAAACCGACGAAGATAAGCATCTTGTACTCTGCAGCTGTTGTGGATTCGTGCTAACAGCAGTTGCCTCTCAAGGAAAACCTGTTAGAGATAACGTGAGGGCATCATTTTTCTAATCAGAGGACAACAATTTCTGAGTTTTTAGAATGAAGCATACAGTTCAGGGGTTGAAAAATTAAGAACAAAAGCATTTATTGGCCTGTGCCAACTAGAACTAAATCATGGGTAAGTAGCAAGTACAACTCAAAGTAAGCAAAAAATGCACACAATTATTTAGGTACCACATCGATCGCCGAACTTTGTCCACCCCCAACTCTGGCTTTTCAGAGAAGCCTCTGATCGCCAGTTGGTTCTTTCGTTGAAATCCTGCTAGAAAAAAACCTCCTCAAGTGGTGAACAAGTGCTAATATCGTCGACTACATCAGCACCCATACATTTTTGGCTTGCAGTCGGGTAAACCTGTGATTTGAGTAGTTGTCTTGCTCGAGTGGTTCCGTGCAAAAAAAAAGACTATCGTGGATTAAAGGTTATGAATCAATCCGACAAATTCAAAAACATAAGACAACTCGTAACAAGTATCGATAATGTGTATAATACTTCTCTCCCATGAATCTGCTCGCTCAGACCATAGCAGCTTTTAGTCCTCCGACCACTTTGTCGATCTTCATCGTAGTAAATCTACACCATGGTCAAAAAAAGAATCAGTCACTGCTTCCACTACTCATCTTTCTCTTTCCGGCGAAGTAAGGTAACAAGTAGAAGACGAGGTCCTCTCTTGTCTGATGATGATGTGATCAACGTAGACGATGACGGCTGTTCTCTAGTGCCATGTACTGCACTCCCGAAAACCAGCTTAAATCCTAACCGCACGACACTGATAACTCATACCAGGGCAATTTATAAGGTTTCACAGCTCGCATGGCATGGAGTGCATGGATCACATGGAGTAGCATGGAGCTAAAGGGGAAGCTTCTTGCACCCCTTAAAGCTCTGCGCTCCATACACTCCATGCTACTCCATGCGTGCTATAAACTACTCTGTCATACTCATTACCTAGCGCCTCTAGTGCAGCACCGACCAGCTGGGTGCTCCACCTCCTCACTCCTCCTTATTTGCAGCTCCACCTGGCTGCTCCACCTCCTTACTCCTCCTCATTTGCAGCTCCACCTGGCTGCTCCACCACCCCCTCCACGTCCACTCCACTACCTACTACTCCACCTCTGTAGTGCCACCACCTGGCTGCTCCACCTCCTCACCCCTTCTCATTTGCAGCTCCACCTGGCTGTTCCACCTCCCCCTCCACTCCACTACCTACTACTCCACCTCTGTCGTGCCACTACCTGGCTGCTCCACCTCCTTACTCCTCCTCATTTGCAGCTCCACCTGGCTGCTCCACCTCCACCTCCCCCTCCACTACCTACTAGCTACTCCACCTCTGTAGTGCCACCACCTGGCTGCTCCACCTCCTTACTCCTCCTCATTTGCAGCTCCACCTGGCTGCTCCACCTCCACCTCCCCCTCCACTACCTACTACTCCACCTCTGTAGTGCCACCACCTGGCTGCCCCACCTCCTTACTCCTCCTCGTTTGCAGCTCCACCTAGCTGCTCCACCAGCACCTCCCCCTCCTCCTCTACAAGTGCGTTAGAGTTGAACTCAAGATTTATCGAAGGACGGGACTTGAGTTCCAGATCTACATGTAGAATTTAGTTTCACCTATAGTTACTTTTCCAGCGCTATATCAGACCGGGATGGCAATTTTTTCCACGACGCTTTTGGGTAAATTTACGAACGCAGTCAGAAAGCGGCCATGGTTTCTAGGTAGAAATGGCAATAAGATAAACAGGAAAAAGGCGGCCATCATTTAATTTCCTTAAGAAGTCATACCATAAGGTTTACTTTTCTGTCCACGTCAATCACGGCGACAAGTACGCCGTGTCCTCCTCCTCACCTCCGTCATCGTCATGCACATGCTTTGATACCACTCTCAAAGTGGATGCTGTTGAAGATCTTGCTCTGTCGTCTGAAGATGTGACGGAGGACGTTGCGTCCTCTCCTGCAGTGGAAGATGAAGATGAAGATGCGCTTGGATCAGTTCTTGGTCCTTTTGATGAAGACGATGATACAAGAAACGAAGGCACGCTTTGTGAAAGTCTAGAAGGTTCTTGTGCATGCGGTTGATCTACTTCGTCAAAAGGGTCCTCCACGACATCCGTCAGCGACGTCTCGAGGAAGGAGTTGTCATGCACGGGAATGACATCGCCGAGGAGGGAAACGTCCAACAGGGACGGGGCATGGCTGGCGCTGGACACATGAGGACCGCCACCTTCGCCCTTGGGGTTGCTCTCGATGAAGGCACCCAGCGCATTTCCTTTCAGAGCAGACAACTCATCAACTTCACCTACGAGCACGAGCAGAAGATGGGCTCCTACTACATCAGAGACTTTCAGCCACACGCCTCTGGTGTTGTCGCGGCGTGAACCGCGAAGGAAAGTGTGTGCATCTTGGAGAGCCGCTTGCAGAGGATTTTTCGCTGGCTCTGGTATCTCCATCCTCATCAAGGCAGCGGCGTCCGACGGATTTTTCATTACCTCGGTCAATTGAGCCACAAAGCCCTGGAGCTCTGTTGCACTAGCTGTAGCTGGAGCCGGCGGCAAGAGTTCTATGTGCCTCAAAAATAAGGCATGGCGCGCACTATCTGTAGTGCCTTCTTGTACTACTAAACCCGATGGAAAGCTTAACCATGTCGAGTCGCCATCGTGCACCGAGTCAACCTTGGGGATCTGGTCAACAAATAAAAGCCCCCACTTATTCGGCCTTACTTGTTTCGCCACCTGTTGTACACGATCAAAGAAGGCGCTGACGGATAAAGTACTAGTATCGACAGCCACCATTTCCTCCTGTTGTGCGCGAATAAACGTGAGGCGATCTTGTTCAAGGCCTATTTCTTTCCACGCCTGCACCTGGCCCTGAGTCAGAGTCTCACCTACTAAAAGTCTTATCAGCGCCGCTAGCTTATCTTGTATCACGAGCAGCTTCAGATTGCGCTGTACTGGTTCCCACCGCAGAAGATGTTTGCCAGTTCTGAGTTTATACTGATCTAGATCATAGAGAGGCGAAGTATTGCGGATGCGGGGATCTGCTGGACAACTTATGTCTTGATCTATCTGCACGTCCCTCCACATTTTTTGAGAAGCATCTTCTTCTTTTTCGCGGTCGCCGTCGTCGCCTATTCTCGATCGCACTAGTTGTATTAGCTGGTCTATCGTCTTCACATAGCAGGACACGATGTAAACTTCTCCGCGCAGAAGCATCACCCGCACAGTTCCTACCATAAACATATCGCTGAGCCGTGCCTGCATCGTGCCACCCGGTGCTTCCAAGCCGGGCAGCCAAAAAGCGCCAAACTTAGAAAATCCTTAAGGTAGCCAAATGGCTACGGTTCTGGGCGATGTCCTTCATCATCCTCCGCGATGTCGCCGGGTCCTGTGACTAGTGCCACTCACTCTGCAGCTGCACAAGCACAAGATATAAATCAGAAGAAAAAGCTGCTGGCTTTGTTGTTGTTATTTCATAAAAATTCCTCAGGCTTGACGCCCTTCACCTGCTTAAGCTAACTAGATCGCGCCCATCTATTTCCAGCATCTAACTGCCCAGTTGCTGCACAAGCTAAAGGCCTCAAGAGTCTTATGATTTTGATCTTGATGATCTTCATGCTGATCCTGATGGTGGTGACAATGATGACGCCAGTCGATCCTCTGTCTTGGTGCTTCTGTCATGTTGGTGGCCTTGTTCCTGTTGTTTCCTTGATCATGATGCTCGTGAATCGTGACGCTGTTGATTTTAGTGCTGGTAGGGTAATCTTTATACTCACGCTGAAGGCGACTCATAACCATGGAACTGGCTTCCGCCCAAGGAACAGCTGGAACAGCTTTCAGGCTGATGCGCGGATCGCGAAAGCCAGCCGGCCCGCCAACAAGGAAGGGGCTCCTGAAAGAAGGCGCAGCGCGTAACACTATGAACGCACACCGCTCCGAAGTTAAAACTACCTCCAAGCTGACTAAAAATTGCTAATACAACTACCCACGGGCACAATCGTTGCGATGTTGCCGAAAGGGTGCCAACATGCCTAGTCGTGTAGTTTTGAGCTCAAAGTGCCAGCATTTTTACCACACGGGCCTTAGCTGAAGTAATGCTGGCACTTTTCGGTGGGCCTGCAGGCTCTGACTTCGGAACAGTGTTCGTTCATAAGCAGCATGTTGGCTGGAAGCGTAGACGCGAAGTTGAACAGCTTTACGTCCCACCAAGCGTCACGCGACGGGTGATTAGCGCTGTCCAGTAAAAATAATCACTCATCTCCATCTTTGACGGTACTCAAAAAGGGTAACTGGGTGAGTCGTATTCCTGCGTGATCCATGGCGCAGGGCTACGGTGCCCCCCCTAGCGCAGGGGGGGCAACGTGCAGCCCCGGACCCCTCTCCGAGGCGTCTGCCGGGGGTGGAAGGCCTCAAAAGGGGCCCAACAAGGGACCTTCTCCGCCCCCTTCCAGTACTATGCGATTGCGGTGGACCATTCAGGCCCTCAAGTATGCAGAGACAGCTGGAGAAGCAGACGCGGCACAAGCGCACGGGCAAGCCCTTTGCCGGTGTGCCTCCGATATGCTTCGCCGCCGCAGCCGTGCGCCGGGTGTGGAAGGCCTCCGAAAGCGGCAAAAGGCGAGGGGCTGGACCCCCCGCGCCCGGCCTGTGCCCTCCATGCCCTTCGTCATCAGCTTGCTTGCCCTTGCGACCCCAGAGAGTCAGCGCACGACCATGCAGAGACAGCGACACAAAGGCGAAAGCGCTGCACTCCCCAAAGCACAGGCCCGCGCCACTCAAACAAAAAAGGCCCCGGGCTTCGCCTTCTCACTTTCGCGAAGCCCAAGCCCCGAAGAGCTCGGCCGGGGCGTGTCTGTTCAATACAGGCGGCAGATCTGCCAGGAGACAGCAGGCCGCGACTTTCTTCCGAACTCCGTGGCATCGTGGCCCGCCATACCGCTACCGCCGCGGGGTGCTGCGCTTTCCAAGTGGAAAGCTGCCCAGAGGAACCCCGTGGCAACTCGCTCCAGATTAGGCGCGTGCGCTTCGGCAACTCGTGGCAACTCGAGAGAACTCGAGCAGCCCGCAAGTCGATAAGCGGACTACTCAAACGCGCCAGAGATGCACTGGGACTGAGAGACGAGTAGTTACGTCCAGCCATAAGATCACCGGCAAAAAGGATAACGACGGGCGACAAATTGAGGTGCGCATATCCGGCTTCGTGAAGTTGCTGCACCCGTACAGCAAACAATTCCCCAGCCCTCAGCCGTATGCTGCTTTCGAACCGCGGTCGCCATGTGTTGAAAGGATCATATGAATGGACGCCTCGCTTCCAAAAACGACCCGGGAGATAATAGCTCTAGCTTTATTTGGCGAAACCACGCGCAAAACCGTTTCAAAGCTATGCCCCCTCTTTCCTGTAGGGCTCCCTTGGTAGTATGCTACTCGGCACTTTCTAAGCAAAGAAATAGGGGAAGATCTGCGGGCCCCGCTACGTACAAGGCGGCCCGTTGCTTTTTCTGAGGAATAGAAAGAAGCCCCAAACCCATCGCCCTGCGCTGATCGTGTTACTGTTAAGCTAGAAGGGTCCTCACTCTTTTGCTTCCTCAGATGCGTGCGCGCTTACTGATTCCTACAGAGTGGCCACAGATTCCAAACGGCGCGCACCCGATACTTACTACCGACGAGGAGCGCAGATCTATACAAATTGCCGCAAACCTTCGGGGCAGCACGTCCGGCCACTTTCTTAGCCTACTGCAATCTAGCTAAGACCTTGAGCCAAAAGCCTCGCCATGTAATCACCCAAAAGTCAAAACGCTCGCTGTCTATAGGCCTCGACGGGTTTCATGTCGAAACGCTTCGCACGTAGTCCACGACGGGCATCATACAGCTCCGGGCTAGCCCCTCCGCCTTTCGGTGAGGCTGGGTCGCTGTCCTGTGTGGTCGTGTGAACATTCACAAAATCTGCTAAAGGAGGCCCAGGCCGATGCGGAAACTGTTCGCAAAATTGGCGCACTCCCAAGAAGTTCGCGACTGTTCAGAAGAGACAAGCCTGCCAGAGAGAGCCCGCAGAGGCTACACGAATGCCAAGCATGAAGATGCCGCAAGAAAATGAAGGAAGCGAGATAGCTGCCAAGCCGCGAATATGCACACACACAAGCACCCTCCCACGAACTGCGCTAGTGTTTGGCGTAAGGGCTTCCCACTAGTCTCCACCCTCTTGCCGCGCTGTAAGTGTGCGACTTCGGGGCGCCGCCTTCATGGTTCGTTCTCACATCCATAAAGGTGCAGGAGGCGCCCTGGCGCGAGTTAGTCTCCTCACCCGCGCGCGCGCTTAACTTCATAGACAGCACAAACCCAAAGCCGGCCCGTATCAGGTTGCTCGCCAACAATTTCTGCGCAGTAGAGTCCCCCCCCGCCAAAAAGAAGCCACATCGACAGCCGAGGCACGCCGCTCCCTGAGTGACGAGCGCACGCGAATCTGGTCCCAGTGCTTTACTTGGCGCCGCGGTTTCTCCCGTTGCCTTGTATGACACCGCTGGGCCATTGCCTGCAGCCCAAAGAACCCACAAGAGACGAGACGCCCCCCAGCTGTTTGCGATACGCTGGGCAGTAGATTGGACGCCACTCCTCCTGCTCCCCTGCGTGTAGTTTCGCTAGGTCTGCACCCTTCCGGTGGGGCTTCAGTTTCGATCTGTTCAGAAGCTCCTCACTCTTCCCCGGGTTGTAGAATTGCCGCAGCACCGCCGCCGCCTTAGAGAGTTCCAGCAGCAAGCTCCGCGCACGGCTCCGCAAGGCCAGAACACACGCCAGCCGTCTTGCTCTGCGTTCGCATCTGCGTCGCCTGCCTGCTCATTTACCTCTCTCGACTCTTATTCTCATTCTACTCGGGGAGCGGGGACGGCCCAGGATTGGGGAAGCAGATCCTTTCCTCACATGCAAGAGATCTCGAGCACAGAGGCGCGCAGAGTCTTGATCTTCCAACAGATGAAGCGCCCACCTTGGCCACGCAACAGAGGCACGCAAAGCATTGACCTTCCAAGAGATGAAGCGTCTACTTTGGCCACGCAACAGAGGCGCGCAAAGACTTGACCTTGTAGCAGCTGGATCCTTTTGGCCGGGCAACAGAGCCAGAGGCGCGCAAAGTGAGTCTTGGTCTCACTTTTAGCAGATGGACCGTCTTGGGCCGGACAACAGAGGCGCGCAGAGTCTTGGCCCTACTTTAACAGATGGATCTTCTTGGCCAGACAACAGAGGCGCGCAAAGTCTTGACCTTACTTATTTAGCAGATGGATCATTTTGGCCGGACCGACAACAGAGGCGCGCAAAGTCTTGGCCTTACTTTTAGCAGATGGGTCGCCTTGGCCAGACAATAGAGGCGCGCACAGTCTTGATCTCACTTTTAGCAGCTGGACCCTTTTGGCCAGACAACAGAGGCGCGCAAAGTCTTGGCCTTACTTTTAGCAGATGGATCTTTTTGGCCAGACAACAGAGGCGCGCAGAGTCTTGGTCTTACTTTTAGCAGATGGCTCTTTTATTTTGGCCGGACAACAGAGGCGCGCAGAGTCTTGATCTTGAACCTTAACAGGCTGAGCAGGTTCACACAATCGAGCAGGTTCATACATGCCGAAAAGTGTCCGCTGCAGTTCCTCAGTGCCAAACGTGACGGCTGTAGCTCCTTGCTGTCAAAGTGTTGCAGTTCCTTGCAGTTCCTAGATGCTAGCGAGATGCTTCTACTTTCTTGGCGTGACAGTTGTAGCTCCTTGCTGTCAGAGTGTTGCTGATTACTTTTACCGTCTTGGACTAGATGAGAAAAAAGCCGGAGAATTGGGGGCACATTAGATCTCTAACCCCGTAGCGCATGAGGTCTAGACGTAGTCCAGCTACTGGCTCTCCATTTCCGCACCTGTGTATACCGCTATGCCTGCTGTTTTGGTGTTGGGATTTGTGGGTGGAAAAGTTTGCTGATACTACTTCGGTTCTATTCGTGTCACTTTAATCAGCCGTAGACAATTTAAGCTACGCGCCAGATAAGCTCCTGTCAGCCTTAGAGGCCTTCTCATCATCGGCGGCGTAAGCCTGTGCGTGCCTCAAAGAAGTGCTCTGCTCCCGCTTTTGTGCACTCGCTTGACCACTCTAGGGCCGGCGCCGGCTCATTGGTCAAGCGCAAAAGGGGGGAAAGGAAGGAGAAGGCATCTATAAAAAGTAAGCAGCCCTAAATTATAAGAAAGGAGAAGGCCTGAGAGTAAAAATCTGAGATATCTATAGTAACTACGCTGCTCCAACGAGTCAGAGGAAAGGCGACAGCGAGCCTACTGCCTTCGCTTTTTTGTGGCTTTGTCTTTTGCCTCTTGCCAGGCCGCTGCGTCACGTTCTTCCTGCTTTCTTTTAACGATGGGCCACAGCTCAAAAGCCATCCCCAGCGTAATCTTTCGCGGGACCTCCACGCGCCTCTTTTTGTGCTTGGCATCCCTTCGCAGCAGCTCCGGGAGCGCAAGTTCACCACCCACGAGCCTTTTCGCGTTCGGCAGCTGTGCAACCGCTTGGACCTGCTCCGGGGTTAACGCGTTGGCCCACCGGTCGACGAAAGGTCGACACGTCCCGCAGATCCGCTCGCCGGCGGTGGTAGTGTGTTGCGCAAGGCGGGCTGGCTTGCACACCTTCCAGACCACACCAGCAGAGGCTGACCCTGCACTTGACGCACCTAGCTCCGACAGAGCACCAAGCGAAGAAAACGCTGAAGAGGATCCACCCGCTTCGGCTGCAGAAGACGAGGAAACAGCAGCAAGCTGAACTGCCGGAGACGAGGTCGGAGCGGCCGTCGAAGATGTCGATGTAGAAGTAGGGCGAGGCGCTGCAACCGTGCCAAGAGTTGGCCGAGATGCCGCAACAGTGGAAGCAACCGAGGCGGACCCCTTTGGCAAAGCAGCCAGCACACTCTTGCTCGACGAAGACGGAGCAACCGGATGCAGAACAGTCAGGGAAGATGCTGGCGCACGTTGCTCACCGCCCACGCTGTCCGGCTCGTCGACCATGCTGCCGAAGGTTCCAAGACTGGAGACGCCACCAGCGCCGCCAGACGCTGCGCAGTTGAATGTGCTTTCAAGCGACTGCGCATCCTGCTGACCCAAGGCGGGGGCCGCGCCGTCTCGTCCTGCCATGGTTCTCAAGCAACGACGCGGCCGCGCTCACGTTTGCTGCGTCAACTCAAGGCTGGCCGATGTTGATGTCGACGACGTTGCGCGGCCTGCTGCGCTTTTCTCTAGCGCGGACAATGCTTGACATAGTCGGCGTGGCGGTGTCCCTTCATCACACACGGCGGACGCGCAGCGGGGTGGCGTCGTAGAGGCCTGCCAGGTTCTTACGCACGCCAGCGCGCTGCAAGGAAGACCCCCAAGGCCTGGCCCCATGATAAACACACGGCCACTGCGTCGCGCACTTGCTTGCCAAGCTTCGGCCGGGTGGCGTTGTCGACTGGGATAGCTTCGAGCAGGCGAACACGCTCGCGGAACTCAGTGCCAAAAACGACAACAAGGGCGCCAGCCTTCACACCATACGACAGGCGAGGAATGAGCCAGCTGCGAACACAGCCAGAAGCCTTGCCCCGGTCGTCAGAATTGAAATGGAGCACACCGCGCGCGGCGTTCATCACCGCGGACGAGATCGATGCAACTGAGCTGCCGCGGGAAGAAACTCTTGGAGAGGGAATCACTGCCACTGCTCCACCGCATTACTACCAAAGCCTACTCAACGTTTCCCACCGGCGGGCTTATCCTGCTGCTGTCGTTGGTACTGTCGGACGGAGTCCGTGTCCTGGACGCATCCGTTAGAAAGAACCCCCTCGAGGTTCCTAAGCCTCTCACTCGTTTCCTATTCGTTTCCGAAATCGTTCAGGAATTTGGCCCGCCGTCACTTTTGTCGGCCTTTTCGGGCTCTTCGTCTGCCCTGTGGATTCCGTTCGGCCGGTAGCAGTTCTTTGAGGCTTCCAAAATTACCACAAAGAACCCACACGGGGGCACTTTCTCCGGGATTTTCCTGGTTGTTGACGCGCTTTATCTGCGTGCGGAACTTGCGAAAGAGATAGACGGCGCCGGAGGTAGTTGGCCCCCAGAGGTCGGCGGCCAACCATCGGGCAGGGCCCTGCGTCACTCATCTCGATCCTGTGGGCCCGTCGCTGGGTTGGTTTCTCCTCTGTGGGGCTGGAACATAGCCAACCCCCCAACTTCGTTGGGCTTTGCTCATAATCCCCAAGCCTGCCACTAACGGACCGACCGAGGGAGACCGACCACAAAAATCGGCAACAAGCAAGGGGCGCCGACACTCCCACACCATGACAGCGCACCCGCGTCACCTCGGTCGTAGGGGTCACCACGTCCGGCCTTGCAGTCAGTTCCCCCCTGGGGTGGGTGTTTGGTGTGGGTGCGTGTGTGGTGCCCGGCGCCTAAAATATATAACGGCAACTAATAATAATAATACACATAGACGCAAACTATGCCAAGAGCATACAGATAGCATCCCTAAACAGAAGCGATAAGCTGCCACGGTAACCCAAAATATATCGCCAAATATATATTAGAGGCGGCCCGAGAAGATGAATGCAAATAATCCACGTAAATGCAAACTATGCCAAGAACAGACAGCACCCCTGGGCAGGGACTATAAGTCGCCAAATAAATCATATCGATCGCAATCGATCATAGAAAGGGCGAAAGCCTTACGCATTGTGCTTCGAGATGCCCGCTTGTCCGCCAAGACGCCTGGACAAACTCTATCACACCAGAACGCGCTAGGTATGTATTACAATCGACGGGGTGAGCTGGCTAGACTCACACCCAACGCGTGTCAAGTCATGTAATACAACGGTAAAGTTTAGGGCTTCCGTAATGCAAGCACTATGCCCAGACCCAGTGTTACTCTAACTACGTCACTAATCTAGATACGGCACTAGTTGCCGGCATCGTTCTCCACCACTTGAACCAATTAAGAACACACAACTTAAATAAACAAACTAAGACGGGGGCGGGTCCCTAATAGGCAACACGACCTAGAGCGGTGCGCATCTCGCGCCTTATAAAATATGGGCTCTTTCCGGCACAAATATTCAACCGCAACAAATCTCGCGCAAAGGTATCTCCAAAGTTTCTCGCCCGACAAATGTCGCAAATGAATGCACTGCCGGGCTGCGGCTGGATTATCCAATACACAATCGACACAGATGCGAAGTCAAACGCTATAGGCGGGCGACTGAATGCAGTACCTTGCTCAACCTGAAATCTTGAAACGTCTTGATCAATACGAACGACGAGGATAAAACGCGTAGCCCCTTATATGTAATTATGGATTGTGGCTGGACACCCCAATACAGAACCAACCAAATGCGAACCCAAATGATTCAAACACATGCGAAGTCAAATGATTCAAACACATGCGAAGTCAAATGATTCAAACAGATGCGAAGTCAAACGATTCAAACAGATGCGAAGCCAAATGGTTCAAACAAATGCGAAGCCAAATGGTTCAAACAAGTGCGAAGCCAAATGGTTCAAACAGATGCGAAGGCAAACGATGCGAAGCCAAGCGCACTTATGGATTGTGACTGGGTACCCCAATACACAGTCGGCCTGTGAAGTCAAACGCCCTAAGCGGATGACTACGCGACATTTCCTGTCTCCGTCCGTCTTGATCAATGCGAAGAAGTCTCTCGAGCAAATGCTTAATGACGAGGACAAAATAGGTAGCCCTTTTTCTTAAATGATCAGCCCGAAACCCTTCTACTCGCATAGCGTATGGCCCGAAGTCGTGCTCCACTTGTGTGCTCAGTCATCTCCGAAAGATATTTAATGAGTCAAGTGTCGACCTTTGAGCCATGGCATCCTATCGAGCGAGTAGGCGAGAGATCAGACGCAGTCTCCTTGTAAGATCAAACGAATGCGACATAGTGGAGCGATCTCGCGCCTCCCTTTTGTTCGATAAGATAGCGACTATTCTTGTACTATTTCGATAGGTCTTTCTCAATAAAGGTCTGGGGCTCCTGTTACAGATCTGGGGACTTTTCTACTTTGGCACCATTTGGATTCTGGCACCATTTGGAATGGGATGGCCCTTGCTCTCTCCTGAGCTCTCTAGTCTGGTAGATACTCACTCCACGACCTCTAGGGCGATCTCTAGATGCCGAGTAATCGCCCCAAACTGTAGACGGTTCTACAGTGCGGCGGAGGCGAGGCCGACCTAGTCACGATTCTAGAATACGACCCGGGTAGGGTCTGGCCTAGATCTAGACGCGTCCCCTGTACGAGTATGGCTAGCCTTGTCACAGAGTAAAACTAGTTAGAACCTTTCGCATGCTAAGATAATTTACGCAACAACGGGCGGGGGGTGCGGCAAATTAGTAATCACTAGCTGCGAAAGTTTGACTTAAGTTGCACAGGTGATAATTAAAGTCTAACGACGAAGTCATGAATATACGCCATAAAGTCACAGACGTGCGTCAGTATGTTGACAAGCCCCCCGGCAATTTATGAACTAGCCATCCTATTAGGTCGCGAATTGCCTATGTTTCGACTGTAGTTCGACCGGAGAGCTTGAGCCGCGAGAAAAGGAGTCTGATCAAGCAGTAACCTGCTAGAGGCTATGCTTGGAGAACTCCCAGCGAATATAAAGTCTCACTTGTCACAGCTTCACGCAAAGCGATCTAGAGCGATGGCGTGATCACAGATTTCCCCACCACATGCATCGACCAACACCAACTTCCAACGGTACGGCCACAGACGTGCCTTGTGTGCGTGCAAGATGTAATGGCATGCGCTCCGTGCATGACTTGAAGCGATGAAGGCGCGAAGCAGCCGCATCGATAGCAGTTGAGTGGTTGCGGATGGCAGGAGGCCCCTTGTAGTGCATCGAGTAGATGCTGACGATTTGTCCGATGTGCTCGAAGTCACCCATGGGCTTGGAAGAAGGGGGCTCCTTGTAACGAGGCGCGTATGGATGCTGGCGATAGATGTCGCGCGCGATGCCTTTTGGTTCAGTGGGCACGCAACAGCACACGCGTAAGATTGCGCCTTCAGTCGCGAACGCAATGCCGCCTAGTACTACTTTATCGCGAGGGTTGGCTGCTACTCTGAAGCGTGAGCTTCGAAATAGTAGCCCCATCTGCGGTAAGAGTGCTACACTTGGTGCGTAATTGTTGTCCCAATCAGATTGTTTGACTGGCGAAAAAGCAATGCGCTCTGTATCTGCTTCGAATTCGTTGCGGTTATCGCCAAGACGGAAAATTTTAGAACCCTTCCTAAAAGTTGGGCCGCGTACCAGTTGCGAACAAAGTGGCAAAAGTTGGCCACTGAGTGCTGGAGCGAGAACTCCAAGCCGTGGCCTTTGCGCCAGCGGTACGCTCGTGGCGAACTTGTCAAGGTACTCCAAGACTGGATAGGCTAGTGTAGTAGGAGGGAGCCACCAGGTCCGGCGATTCAGAATGTGCTCGGTGTTCTGGAAAGGTGTGCTCTTCGTAGTGAACGAGAAGCCAAGCGCGGGAGAAGGAAAACGATCGCCCGACGACGCACTGTGTCAATCTCTGGAAAGTTAGCGCTGACGATGTTCCAACACCTCGGGCAGAGGTAACGTTCTGGGGTGTCGTCCTTCATGGATGACGCAATATCGTCGAAACGAGGCAAGGCGTCGGCGATGGGGTTTTCTGCACCAAAAATCATTCCTGCGACAAGCTCGCAGCAGTTTCCCACGACGAGTGACCTGATGAAGAAGGAAGCGCGGCGCATAGCCGCCGACGAGTTGGAGCCTTTGTCGCAAGCACGCTTGGCGGCTGGGTTGTCGGTATAATACATGACCAACTTGCTGCCGCACGAGTATCCGTCGGCGCAGTAGGCCTGGAGGAGAAGGAGCGGAGTAATTGCCTCTCTCGCGTTGATGGAACACGTCGCCCACTCAGGCGGGAAAGTTCCCTGGTAGCACCAACCGTTGACCGTTCCACCCCAACCAGTGCCGACAGAGGTTGCAGCATCGCCATGAATAACAAGGATAATGCCGCCTGGGATTGTTCGCAAAAATTGGTCACCGAAGGTTAGTAGGTACTTCCTCGCGCCAAAGAAAACAGCGATCACCGTTGAAGAAAAGAGGAGAAGACGGGACGTTCGCTAACGTTGCGCGCCACCATGATACTTCGCGCAACATCGCAGCGGAAAGCGTGGCGGCAAGGTTGCGGCGTTTGTTGGTTTGCCACTGCTTAGGAGCGCCGGCAGTCGAGATATCGTCTTGCATGGCCGCCAATGGGCCGCGGTTGATAACGAAAGCACAAGAGCCACGCTTGCCCTTGAGTCAAATCACGCACGTAACACGAACGCCATGCTTCATATTCCGCCAAAAAATTGCCGATGTGCCGAATATAGTCGAGCCTGCGGCTCTCCTCGATGCGAGTGCACATCTGCGAGGTGTCGCATTCGAAACCCAGCCACGGGAAAACGCGCGACGCAGGGGCGCGCTTCCCTGCTTTGTCGTGTAATTTACAGCCGAGTAAAGTCAGAAGGAAGAACTGCCGGCCCAGATCTTTGCTGGTAGGTGGCGTCTTCCGACAGACATTCGCTACCGGCAAGGATGGGCCGAATGTCTTCAACATAGTCTAACACATGGGACCTGATACCAGCGGAGTGACATACGCGGATAAGCTCCTTGGCATTGCAGTCGTTTTCACCCGGTGCGGGGGCGATTCCGAAGGGGAGAAAGAGACGCGAGGCCTTCATCTCTATGGGTGGGAGGTCAAAGCCGAAAAATCGCCTGTGCGCAGGATGTATCAACCAGCGCGGGAAACAATCCTCCAAATCTAAGCCAGATACGAAGGCTCCCGGGCGGAGCAGCAAAAAAAGGTCCCACCAGGTAGAGTAATCTACTGGCGTGGAGAAGAGCGACTGGCCCAAGCCGCAAGAAGGCGCGCTCCAGTCGCTTACCAAGCGGACTCTGGAGCCACCTTTCTGAAGAAGCACAGTGGCTGGCGCGATCGTCAGGTCTGCGGGCGGAGGTGTGAACCTAGCCGCCGCGGGCAGTAGCGCGCTGTCATAGAAAAGCACTGTCTTCATCTCCACTAGTCTACTGACTTCGTTGACAAAAGTAGACTCGTGCTCAATGGTTGGCGAGTAATTGCCAGACTGCGTGGCGCTGAATTCGTCACCAATAACGTCGAAAAAAGTGCCACCGAACCATTTTTGGATATGTCCCAGGGTGACACCCAACCTGATGCGTTCCTCCACTGACAACGGTAAACCCTCGACCGCTTTTGCGTCTTCGAGGTCGCGCCATAAATCCCGAGGACTATGCTGCTTCTGCAAAAAAGAAAATACGTCGCCGCGCTTCGTCGGTAAACCAAGAGCGAGATAGTCGCGAATGGAAAATTTCGAACAAGGCGCCATGCCCAAGTGACGCTCCGCGTCAGAAATGTAATCGGACTGCATGCCTGAGGTATGCTCCAGACAGTGGCAGCGTTGAGGATATCGGAAAGCGTCCCAAGTATTCCCACACCCACACGCTTCAGGATAATGCGCGCTGCTAATTTCGGTGCTGCTTTGCGCACGTCAGCGGATGGCAGACGAGTAGTACAAATAGAAGAAGCCCAAGGCGCTAGATTCGCGCTGTCATGCTTGTCTTTATCAGTTTTTACAAAATAAGTTCCCAACATTTCGAGGGACTGAGTGGCCTTGTCATGTGAGAGCGCCAGCTCAGTAATGTGATTTACCATTAGCGCAGTCTCCTCCACTTTGGGAGGCGCATAGACGTCGCCTAGCATGTTGGCACCCCTCCAACCTCCCTGAAAATACGCAGCGCGCCTGTTGCCAGCCCAGTTGGCGCAAAAGTCAGCGCCTGCTTTTCGCAACGAGATACCACCAGCCGCATCTTTCGGCTTGAGGTGCCCTAACGCTTCAGAAGTCACCTGTTTGATAAAGTCCTTACTACAAGGAAGACCTCTAGTAGGAATTCGGTTGCGGTCAATGGGATAGAAAAAAGGCCCAGATACAGAACCCCGTGACTTCTTGAGATAATATTGGAAGAAATTTGTGGAGAATCTCACCCATGCTCGGGCGATGTCCTGAAACATGAAGGGAGTGGCAGCCTTATGACCACCCCAATATTGGTCGCTCTTAGCTTTCTCCACGAAAAAGTAGATCACGCTGGTGCTGTTGCCTCGAAGATCACCCGCCACAAGCCTTCGAAGCTCGTCACTTCGCCCTAACTCCGAGCATGCCGATGATGAGAATTGCAGCACGCTGAAGTTGGGTTGAAGCTGACGCGAGCTCCTTGCTGGTAAGAGCTGGAGAAGGCCGACCTGGGCCAAGTTTGTCGCGTACAAACGTGCTGAGAAGCTCCCTCCACTCCTTATATGCCCTAAAGGCGAGACCAGGGACTTGCCTGAAGGTGGGAGCGAACTTGTTACAAGTAGGGTCGTGGTGAGCGCTCTTCTTGAATCCCATCCATCTGCGCTTGAGTAGAGGCGACTTGGAATCCATAGAGAAAGCGAGCGACGCCTCTAGCAGTGCAGAGTTGTGGGCACTGACTGCCGCTGATAATTGTTCGAAAATGTGCCACCTGATGGAGAGTTTGGATCTGTCGTCTGGGTCCACGTACTCGAACGAGGAGGAGCAGACGCGAGACTTCGCGAAGATAGTGAGAAAGAGAATGGCCTCCTTATCGTTAGTTAGCGGCCACAGCACGTCTTGAAAGACTGCGCAAACTAGTGGGGCGACTTTGTTCAACGCGTCCGGGTAGTTTTTGGCTGACGCATCGGCAAGACAAGACTACGCTGCGCACCTTCCATAGTTGCTTCCGCGAGTAGGTCTTTCATGACTGGACCAAGAGGAAACCCGTCGAAAAACTTCTCGTCTTTCTTGAAGATGGGTAGGCCAGTTACTCCTGGGCCCATGTCGTAGCGGTAGGGGGCAAACGCACGAGATCCAGCGCTACTATTTGACAAGAATGACTTGCGCAATTCAGCTAATTAGGAGATGGATAGCTTTAAACTTTCGAGCTCACTCTTGAAATCGTCCAACGTTTTCTGTTCGCCTAAGACTACGACTTCGCCCTCCTGCAGCGAGACGAACCCCGGGGAAGAGGCGCCTGCGCCTTCGTCATGCACCATTACGAACCCGAACGCTTCGGCGTCGGCGTGGGCATCAGAAGTACCCGCGATAGCCCTTTCGATTTCGTCAACTGTAGCGTTGGAAAGGTTTGCAGACGGAAGCTCGTTGTCCTCAAGCAGATTCGTTTGTAACGAGCGCGACTGTGCTGATGACGAAGATGGTCCCGCCGTCGCTCTGGCTGCTAAACGAGGGCTATCGTCCCGCTGGCTTTGATTCAAGCCCGAGGACTCCACTAACCTTCTGGGTTTCGCGCTGTTCATTTTGTTTCTTAGCTGAATACACAGCCGCTAAGGCTTGGGTGGAGAGATAGTGGCACGAATGTCCGAAGCGCTCGGTGAATTTGTCACATCGTCTCTCAAAACATGCGGAAGCATGCTGATCGCTCGATGTGCTTGAGTCACTCGCCCCACAAATTTCAAAGCAAGATACTTTGGAGGCGCAATCGCGCCACGCGTGTATTTGTTTGCGTCAGGTGGTATTGTCAGCATTTGTCTCAGACGATAGCGGTGCTGTTGAAGTGATTTCGATATTGCGCGTGGGGCTAGTTCTTTGGTCGTGTCACTTGGACGCAGAATTGTGAGTCATGGACGAGTAGCAATTTCATCGCGTGGGGGTGGGAAACGCCGAGAATGCGCGCAATGGAAGAATAACGCGAAGCCTCAAGCAATGGACTACGTGATACTGCTGAAACTGAGGACATGCCATAGAATTTAGCTCTGTATAGTGGGGCCGTAGAAGTATGAATGCTTGAAGATTCGACTACCAGGCGAGATTATCACTTGTTTCCACTCTTTCTGTGTCCACCCTTCTGGTTGCCTTCACCGCCCTTGGGTGTATGCTGGTAGCCGGAGTCTCCGTATCCACTACCTCGCCTCCACCACTGGCGCGGTTGGGGCACGCTGATTGCCAATGGATGGGCGTGATGTTGAGGCTTTTGCAGATCATGCAGATGGCCACGCACTTGCTCCCGGCGCGTTCGCACTCAAGAAAACCATACTGATGGCTGGAGTTGAAGCCTTTGCCCAGCAAAATAAAGACAGCTTCTGCAGTAAAGATTTGAAGCGAAATAAGCGCAGGGGGCTGGGGCGTCGATTTTGCAAGCACGTTGAATAGCAGCTGCCACGGATGCTTCGCCGTTAGCGGCACTGCAGATGATGTCTTCCACATTTTGCGACTGTTGAGAGTAGTTGCTGCCCCCACCGCCAGCACCACGACCATCGTCGCCACTTCCTCCGCCACCTTGTTTAGAAGGGGGGCCGCGCTGATATTTGTTGGGAATGCCTTCGCTAGTCGGTTGGGGTCCGCGTTTGCTAGGACGTCCTGTGCGAGCCGCGTCAGCATCTTGCTGTGGGATGTCTGCCATGAGTGCCCTCAAAAGATTTTTGGACTGCATGCCTTTGCAAGAAGCAGATGAGACCTTTGGTAAAAGTTCGAGGCTGTAAAAGCTTCTGCGCACCGGGTCGATGCGAGAACGAAGCCTGATCCCTTTGCCCCATGCACGAAAGGCGAAGTAGACCAGACGCGAGACGTTGGCGGGAGAGACCTCGTAGCCGTTTGCGCTTTGATTCTTCTCCCCAGCGTTGTTCAATGCCAACAAGTCGAGGCGATACCTCGCCAAGAAGTTGGCACATTCCGCCAGGATAGCGACGCTCTGACCCGGGAGAAGATGGGTGATACGCTGCAGGTGGTTGGAGCAGTGGAGCAATCCGCCGCCATTAGACGGAGTGAGCAACTTGGGCCATTTCATATGCCCACTCTTCTGACGACGAGTCTGCTCCTGAGCCTTCTTCAAAGAGGCAGCGCGGCTACCAAGATTGGCGGGGAGCAAAGCAACATCCTGTGACAAATAGCGACAAGGTTGATGATTGACGTGATGGCTAGTGCTAGATGACGGGCCTGCATCTCGATGAGAACAGGATCGCCGTGGGCTTCTGCTGATTGTGCGAAGTGAGTTAAGTAATGACAGCGACCATTAAGTACCGAAGAGGACAGCTTCGACTGTTGGCGCTCTTGAAGAGGAGGCCGCCTCAAAATGCGACATGCTTCCTGCTTGGAGGGTTCTTCCATCGCTCTAGCTGTGCAATCCGCGAACCATGGGAACTGCGCAACAATCTCAGGCCCCATGGACATGTCTCCACTGGAGGCCTGTACCATGAGAATAGGTCTTGAGTGTATTGATGTCAAGAACGTTGATTATGGCGACGGCGTAGCGTGGCAGTCACTTGATTCCAGGCGAATAATTGATGACATGGCTATAGTGCCGCGAATGCGCGACCCATCTGCTTCATACGGTTGAGGTTCATGGAATTGCTGCACATGAGGCAGATCGTTCTACCCATGTCGTCGAGGTTTACCAGCGAGAAAAACGAATGGGCCACTTTCCCGCCGCGATTGTCTTTGCAATCGTGGCGGGTTGCCTTGTCGCAAAGCGTGTTGCCATCTTTGATGTGTCCACAATAGTTAGAAGTAGACTCGCTCCTTTGTGGTCGTTTTTTCACACGCTACGCAGCGGAAGTTCGTGACTTCCGGCGGCTCTGGGTTGGGAGGACCATCTTCCTCAATTCCTTCGAGTCGCGAATACGTTCAAAATTGTCAACAATAGAACTACCAAAAGAAAGAATCTCGGTGACGAACTGGCTGACAGAGTCAATCTGTAGCGCATCCGCATGATCTTGGTAGTTACTGAAGGAATACGAAGACGAACTCGAGGAAGAGGCTGGCTCGGTTAGATCACTAGACGGCTTGACATCGTAAACATGCACGCTCATCCATTCACCCCATTCGGATTCTTCTTCAGTATAATTACCGAAGGCCTGAGACTTATTTTCGTCCTCTGTGGCGGTGGTGGAAGAACTGGCCTCCTGCCACTCATTTACTTCCTTGAGAGTGCGGCTATTCATTTTCCTAGGCGTCTCGAATTTCTAACCGTGATAGCAAAACCAAGCCTGCGCGTTTTGAATGTGGAGGAATTATGATGAAAGATTATGGAAATCCATGCAGAATGCTTGATATAAGCGAGTGCCGAATACTTGGCGCCAGCATGGAATATATAAAAAAGACTACGACTTGTCTCATGGATTGCTGACGTCATCGCTGCCATGTGTAGTGTGGATTTTCATGCTGTGTTGCTCAAGTGCTCTTCTTATGTTTTCAAATCCTTACTTCTGATCTTTATTGTTCGCGCTTCACAATTCTGCTGCTTGATGCAGGCGAGGACGATGCTGCAGATGTGTTGTTCATTACGGTATGGCCACCAAACGCTTCAGCTTCTCCGAACCGTTCGGCTTTGATCCAGGTAGATTCCAGCACGTTGCTAGTGGGTTCTAGCGTTAAATTAGCACCCGCGCCAGACAGTGCGGATGTGAAGGACGTGATGGCCTTGCGGATGTTGGCTCCCGGTTCGTGAGCCTTCATGATGGCAGGACTGCGCTCTCTCACGTAACGAAGTACGGATACACTCGACGCCAGCAGCAACCCATGTTGGTCCAAAGAACGCCGGAGCAGGAAGGTAACCGCCCTGAGTATTCCAGCGCACAAATGCGCTATTAATTGTCTGTCCGGGTTTGATAGCGTACGCTAGCGAAAGGGTGGCCTGCGATGGTGTTCCAGATGAGAATAAAGAAGGATAGCACCTGGCGAGGGAAAAGGGGAGCATATTTCTGAAGGTTGGCATCTGATATCCGAGCGATTCACTATGCTAGGATACTTCATTGAGATGGATGGCCGCGGTACGTAGATCCGGGCAAACTGCTGCAAGCCAGCGATGCGAGGACTCGGCCGAGCGCTGCCATATCATTCCAATCGGAGAAAGCGAAGAGGGTGGAGATTGCTGCTCCTAAGTGTGGAAAAGTCGGCACTAGCATGAGAACGCTGCTGAATAGGTGGCCACTGACGACGCGCGTCTTGCTTTGGTCCAGCGAAAACTTGTCCAGCGCGTTGCTTCGGTTGGCTGTGAGGCACAGGCTCTGGGCTTGAAAGCCCCCAGTTAGTGCCTCTTCCCATTCAGTCGATTTGGCTTCCGCGTGGTTTCTGAGCGCCTGTCTGGCGTGAGTTGTCGGGATCATTTGAGTTGAGTGCGCCACTGAGTAAAGTGATTGAATGTAATGGACTGGGAAACTGTGCAGTAAGTAGGCTCATTGGGCCGAGTAATGATAGGCATGCAGATCCGACGCCATCACTTCACCCGTAGCAAAGCTTGCAAGGTTGATCTGATATGATTGTGGCAAGAATTGTGTCGGCGCGTGCGCATGGAAGAACTTGCGTCGGGGTCAAGGGTGACCGCACAACTTCGACAAATTTTGTCGCAGTAAACTCCTTTACTTTCACGCGCTACCTCTTCAGTCTCGTCCTCGGTACTAGTTTTCGCATGGAGGAATGGAGATGGGGTTGCCATTACACTGCGAGTAGCGGACTGCATTGAACCAATTAAGAGCACACAACTAAAACAACTAAAATGGGGGCGAGTCCCTAATAGGCAACACGACCTAGAAAGGCGTGCGTCTCGCGTCTTGTAAAGTATGGCTACTCCCGGCGCAAGTATTCAATGGCAACAAATGTAGCGCAAAGGCACCTCCAAAGGCTTCTCGTTCGACAAATGTCGCAAATGAATGCACTGCCGGACTGCGACTGGTCACACCAATACACAATCGACACAAATGAGAAGCCAAACGCTATAGGCGGACGACTTGACTACAACCTGAAATCTTGAAAAGTCTTTGTGGCAAATCGGCCGCGAGTCATGTGTGATGACAAAGAAAGCAATGCCTTGAGTTACTTAAGCTGGTAGATATGTGGCCACTTATCTTAAATGACCAGCCCAGTATCCTTCTACTCACATAGCGCAAGATCCGAAGGCATCTTTCATCTGTGTGCTCAGTCCTCTCCGAAAGATATTAAATGAATCGAGTGTCGATCTTTGGGTCGTGCTATCTTAGCGAGCGAGTAGGTGAGAGATCAAGCGCGATTTCCTTACGTGATCAAACGAATGCTACTGAGTGGAGCGATCTCGAGCCTCCTTTTGTTCGATAAGATAGCAACTATTTGCATTTTTCCAATAGGTCCTTCTCAGTAAAGATCTGGAACTTCTGCCACAGATCTTGAAAACACTTTCTATCAGCAAGCGGCTTTTGCGCTGCTCGTTTGCACCATTTGGAGCGGGGTGGTCTTTTCGCTCTCTCCTGAGCTCTCTAGTCTGGCAGATACTCACTCTACGATCTCTGGGACGGCCTCTAGATGCCGAGTAATCGCCCTGAGCTGTAGATGGTTCCACAGCGCGGCGAAAACGAGGCTGATCGAGTCGCGATTCTAGAATATGATCTAAGTGCGATCTGTCATAGATCTAGATACGTCTCTCGTACGAGTATGATTTAGCCCTATCACGTCATGAGATTGCTTAGCTCCTCTCGTAAGCTTAGGATAATTCACGCACCAACAGGAGGGGGTGCGGAAATTAGTAATCACTAGCTACGAAAGTTTAACATAAGTTGCATAGGTAATCGAGATTCATGATAAAATCGCGAATATTTCGAGTAAAGTGAAAAGATTGCTGTGAATGATCGTCAGGATGTTGGCAAGTCCCCCCTGTAGTTCGCGAGTTAGTCACCCCCATTAAGTCACGAATTGCCTATATTCGACTGGAGTTCAGCCGGAGAGTCTGGGCCATGAGAAAGGATTATTACCAAGCAGTAGTCTGCTACGGACTATGCTTGGAGAACTACCAGCGAACGTTTTGTCTCAGCATGTCGACGCTCGTAGGTGAGTGGCTGCGCAAGCGCGACTCGTTGACTTGTTTCTTGTAAGTACTTTTCGCGTAGTGCGGAGATGGATGCTCTGACGTAGTTGCTGTGGCATGCCGCTTCCTTCCATCCTTTCTGCTCACGAACTACATTCGAAAGCAAAGCTAGGATACTCTTGTCTGAGCCCATGCCTTCCGGGGTGGAGATGTTGAAGAGAAAACGACTGCTGTTGTCGCTGTCGTTGTCTACGAATCCTTTGCAGAAGAATGGCATGCCGCGCTCGTCCAGTGCTTCAATGTCAGTCACGAAAAGTGTAGAAGTGTTGCCCAGCGTCATGCTTTGACGTAGTTCTAATACTGTTAGGTCTTGTTTAGTGATGTACTCTCCGCCAAGATATACGCCCCAGCAGACGTTCGCGCATAACGGGTGGCAGTCGTAAGATACGCAAGTAAAGCGCGAAAGTCCAAGGCTGAGCTCCTTGCTTAAGCGACAAACGATAGCACAGTCGACCTTATCTTTGTAGTTATGCTCGTCGCTTAGTGTGATGAGGCTGGGGCATTTCTTACAGTTCTCAGATTCTGCGAAATCTTCTAGAAATGTCGCGCATAGGATCTCGCTAGGAGAGAGAGGGCCTAGCAAATGTAATCCAATCACTGACGCAAACCTTTCTCGTCTCATGTCAGGCGACGGCGAGAAAGTGGCGCTTCTCTTCTTGAGAGGCGGCCCGTCACAGTTGAAGACTTGGAAAGGGAATTTGTTGCGTGTGCCGTTGCTCTTGGCTAGAGCACAAAACTCAAAATCTGTGAGGTCGCTGTCGTTGATGAAGTATGTGGAGTCAGCAGATAGGAGCGCGCTGCTGTGCTTATGGAGTGCAGGCAGTTTCTCTTTCTTGCTGATGTCATGGGCGATGGTTTCGGGTACCTTACTAGTTGAGGCCCTTCCTTCTAGCTGGATTCTGTCGCACAAGTGTGCGCCTGTATCAAATCCATCCAGGTGGATTTTGATGATAGCGCTGCGCTTTGCTTTGTTGTCCCGTCTTCGTGAGATTTGCACAAAACGCACATGCCCGCCGGCAACGTCGCCGCAATCTATTGACGTGGCGGAGGACATTTTGTGGCGTTTGAATGAGTACTATTTGGGAGAGGTAGAAGTGGCGAAGGCGAATAGTTTGAATTTTGAGGCTTTGGCGGTTTGTTTGTAATGCCCTGCCTCTGGAGTTGATCCGACGCCTCCAACCCGTTTGATTCTCTCGATTGCAGTGCCTTTTTTGGTCCTATTTCGGGATGAGTTGCATTAGAATAACTTCACGAATATGAATACGAGTACGAGTATGAAGTTGAGTCCAGCAGTAAAAGAATTTGAGCACGAATATGAATAGACACGAATAAGAAAGAATAGGAATGAGTAGCAATATGAGTAGAGTAGGAATACCACACGCGCCGGCCGGCCGCGTGCGCTGCAATGTAGGACGCGCAGCCCCCTGAGTACGTGAATACTGAGAAGAGACGACGAAGGTAGAAGAGGGAGAGGAAGACGCCAGCTGAAATAGTACACGCCCCAACCTGCTATGCCGAACACCTGCGCTATTCTTCCATAACAATAACTGAACCAAAAAAGTTAAAACCTGCGCAGCAAATGAGCCCGGGGGGGTTTTCTCACTCCTTCAAACTTTTCACGTTTTTAGCTACCGAGAAAAAAAAGCCTGCTGGCTTTGATTGAGAGAGGCGAAGAGCGTACGGCCAAACGACTGAAGAACCAGAAAAACAAAAGAGACCCCACCAAGGGCCGCGGCGGGTTGCCGGGTCGCTCGGTGTTGCAATGTGCGCGGCGTGCATGTGTAACCGACTTGGCCCCGCCCCCGGGGCTTAGCTTCCCAAAACCCGGGCGACGGGTCCGCCACAAATCCCCATGCCCAATCTGCGGCAAGCAGAGGCCCGTGGCCCTCGTGTCCGGGCGCACGACAGAGGGAACGAAGGCGGCTCGCGTACCGCAGGGCGCTTGCACGGGTAGGCGCTGGCCCGCGGCCACGATAACGGCCAGGGGCTCTAGCTCAGGAAAGGGCTTCCCGCGAGAAGAACACCCGCCACGGCTACGCACGGGCCCGCGGGCGGCTGGTCGCGGGAAGGCAGAGACCGTCAGGCGGACAGCCAAAGGCCTGCAGCTTCTCCGCAGGCTCACGGCTTGGGCTCGGGCGCGCTTGGGTGCTCGCGGCTCGCGGCTCGCGGTGAAGGGCTCGCGGCTCGCTTCGCCCGCGGGTCGCGACCCGCGCCCGCGCCGAGTGACGTGGGGGGGGCAGTCCGGCCCTGCGTCATATATAAAGATGGGCTGCGGGCAGCCTTAATTGTTGAAGCGATTTCCTAGGTCACTTTTAGAAGCTGTTCCCTCATAATGGCTCCCCTGCCATATAGTTAGCGAGAGTCCCCGTAAGCCGATTCTGTACAAGCAAAATACTAAGAACAGCGAAGGCTCTAGCGCCGACGAGTTCGCCAGCCTTAGCAGCCTCGTCAGCAGGTTCATCTTCGAAATGCCATCGGGCCCAGGCGAAGTACGTTTCCACGCAGCATGGGCTGCCCGCGACGTCGAGAGATACACAGGCATTTTGCAGTACCTGCCGGAGGTGTATGTGTGTGTCAGTGGTGCCCATGCTGGCTTTCCCGTTGAGGATATCAATGACATCCGACGGGCCCGGGCGACTGGTCCCGTCTGGAAAACGGAGACGGAAAGGATTGTGCACTATGGTAACAGCAACTTCTTTCGTCTCCGTTATTCCTGTCTTCGTGCCTCGGGCTGGGACAAATGCACTGTCTACGACAACGGGCTCCCCCTTTTCATCGAGAAGAGACTTGCTCATGCTCTCGCTGTTGTTGATAATGTCATACGCGCGATGGTCGTTGTCGTCGAAGTCCACGGCTTGAAGGAGGTTCCGACTTGGTTTCGCATTTTCCGCCAGCAGGAGCCCGCGGTCGTCAGAGAACTGCACTTCCTGGCCCTGTGCGGCCGCTGTGAGGTATTGGCAGCGAGGTCCTGAGTCGCGTGATCCAGCTTCACCAAGGTGTTTGAGATTGAGACTTGCCAAATAAAAGGTCTGCTGTTTTGTCGGTTTCAGTTTTTCACCCAGCGCCGCACACAGACGCCAAGATCCACCAACAGCGACGACAGGGGCAATACGTCGCGCCCACACGCGCCCAAGCGCACTATCCACGTTCGACGCGCTGCCTAAACTTAGAGGCGGATAGTATGTGGCTATCCTTGGATGTTGAATGACTCCTCAGAAGTGCGTAGAATCCCAGTGACTGTGACTTCGTTCTAGAACACACGGATAGAAAAAAATTAGTTTGGAACTGGATATAATAGAGAAGTTTATAGAGTTCCCAGAATTGGATCGGTGGGCACGCTTGGCACGCTGGGCCGCTGGGCGACCCAAATGCGCGTCCTCTGCCAGATATTTCGCCCACCGTGCGCCCACCGTGAGGCCAGGGGTCAAAAATCGGGGCGCCCTTCGGGCGCCCATTTCTGCAGCCCCCCGGTACATGCAGTATTTGAATCTTGAGCCACAACAAGTCGCAAGGCAAATAAAGTGAGTAGAATAACGCCAAGTGTCTATCATCTGGTAGCGGCTTAGATCTATGTCTTTCAGCGATGTACTTGTCCAGAGCCTTCACTAGCAACGTCCGCGAACCTCGCTCCCAGCCGCGCGAAAAGGAAAGAACTCTATCACTACTCACTAGCCGAGGAGTAGAGACACGAAATTAAAAGACAGCGAGTCAGTAAGTAGTGCATCTTTCTCGCCATGAGACGACTGAGCCGACCGATTCGCTCGCTGCCACAGGCTGCAAACAAGCCATGCGTGACCTCTCAACATACTAAAAAACTCACTCTCGCATACAGCTTCGCCGGTGCTATGGTGTGTTGTGGGTTGGTAGATCAGAAAAGTATGCTCGCTTACGATACAGCGCCGCGCTGTGCTGAGTGGTATCAGGGCCGGGGATGCTGCGCGTAGCCTCCAGGTGCACCAAGAGAAGAGTTCGCCAAGCTTTCGCCCACCGTTCGCCCAGCGTCCGCCGAGCGATCGCCCACCGTGCCCAGCGTGGTCGCCCAGCGGCCCAGCGTGGCCCACCGTGCCCACCTTCCCACCGTCTATAAACTACTCTAATATAATTACAACCTACCATAAGACACGCCTCACACCTTTCGAAGCACTCGCCACGATTGCGGCCGATCGCGTTGTCGCAGGGGTTGCGACATTCCAGCGGCGCATCTTGCGGTAGCCATGACGCAAAATGCTCCACGCCGCAGCGCTACTCGTCCAAAGTAGGGTGGAAACCACCGAGCCAGTCAGTCTGACAGCATCGAGTAGGCGAAAGTGCGCACTCTGGAGACAAGGCAAGAGCCTGCGCAAGAGCAAAACCAACATCCCACGGAGGCAGCATAGCAGCAACAAGGTGCGGGTGCCAATGACGAGCCCAAATCCCGCACGGTCTACAGACGAGACTAACAGGCTGCTGAGCTTTGACGATGCTGATGGCAAGGCTTGTTGTGCTTGTAGACCAACGCCGCGGCCAGCCACCATCCACACCGCCAACACGAAGAAAGACGCACACGCCACTGCCATGGCTGCAAAGAAAAAGCCAGAGGGCAGCTCTCCGCGCCGCCATCTTCTCAGAATGGCACCCAAAGCAGGTAGCCGAGGTAGTGAGGCCGTCCGCTTTCGTCCCTGGATGAAGCGAAGGATGGCCTCGTCTGCAGTGCTGCTACGGGGAGTTACGTGCGTGGCCTTTTTGTTTGCTGATGTGTCTGCTTGATAGTTTTTTGATGTGTCTACTAGAGGGGTCCGCTTCGTATCCTTGCGGCGGCCCATGGTGCTTGTTGTGCTAGGATTCCACTCATATACGGGAAGCGAAGTAAATCGATTTGATGTTTTGAGCAGCTTGCCACACTGCTTTTCCGACTCCGGCTTCTTCGACAGAACTCCAAGTCGCGCCTTGCGCCTACTTCCTTTTGCTGTCGCCTGGATTTCCGCGCCGAGTGGTTCGCTGCTTTTTTTAGGCTTAGAGAAGTGGAGATAGAAACGAATAGCGTCTGATGTGCAGTCGACTCTTACTTTCAAACGTTTACGTGGTGACGTGCGTTGGTCTTAAATTAAGAGTCTCAATAGGTCTCTACGAGCTAATAGAGTTTCTAACTCTAAGCATACAGCCTTCGCGCGTGTGATATAACTGCCTTGGTGCTTGTTATATAGGAAACCATAATAGCAATAGCAACAGGAGCAGCGGCTGCCAATCTATCGCACTCCACTAACATGTAAAAGACCTCCAAGATGTACATGACCACCACGACCTGACACTGCTCAACGCTGAGGCCCATCGCGTGATCTACTAAAGCCGTCGCCGATGCAGACGCAGAGCTGCTCTGATCATGAAGCCCAGGATCGCTTACTGCCGTCGCGGTCGCGTTGCTGCTAATAGCGCCGCGAGAGTCTTCACCTGGAAGAAAGTGAGGGTAGACAAAGTGATAGTCTGTCTGTGGATTCAGGATGTCTGTTTTTGGAAGATCGAACTAGTTACTTTTGCAGAGAGTTGCTTTATTAGTCGTGCAAAAGCCACACTCATGGCAGTTGCTGTACCAAGAACAAGATAGAACAGAATGGCACTAGTATACCAATATCAAGGCCAAGGCGCGGCTGAAGCTTCGGCTTATCAACATCCGCGATGGCCAGTCGAGGTTTGGGAGAAGACCAACAAAATAGAAAACTCAAGCAAGACTGTACTCCGGTGAACCAGTCCACTTCAGTGCGTAGGGAAAATAAAGTCATGCCTGAAGTTGCAGCATGAAGATGATAGATGGCATACTTACCTGGAGTAGGAACGTGAATTCTTATCAATTTCATTCAACATGAAGCAAGAGACCCATTTTTGCAAATTCAAAAAATGTCTATTGTGGTAATCGTAGTTAGCTCGTTAGCTCATTGTGGTTTTGGAAACATACTAACATTAAGAATACTCGTAGTCTCGCACTTGTTGTGCAAGTCGTAAGGGTCGTAAGGGTGGATCGATAAGATAAAGAACAAGATCAGGCTCAGGGTATAAGTACATAAATCAGAGAGCGGCAGACCCATCTGAGCCAGCTGTCCGTAGATGATAGCAAGAGCCAACCAGAGGCACCCATCTTTGGGCATGTAGTGCTCGCCAGAAATCAAACCCATTCCTCCTCCTCGGGCATCGCTTTTCAAGAAGAAAGCGGTGCCGGCGTTAGTACCTGGGAGCAGGTTGGTAATTTGTACATTGACTGTGGTCATGTGGATGACGGAGCAATAATATTGTGACGAAGAGGACAAGGTCTATAAGTATTCAAATCTGGTAAAGAGCAGTAGTTGCTAGTTTGTTGAAGAGACACGACCCCTACACTATTTTTACTAGTGGAAGAGTCACTACGTCCTCTAACTCTAGAACGTCCTCTAGAAGATAACAATACCACGAGCGCAGCCATCATTAAGCAGCTGCTGCTTCTTCTTCTTCTGCTGCTGCTGGAGCAACCCGCCATCCACGTCCAGCATTTTGTCTGTCCAAAGGTCGCTCTGCTGCAGCTGCTGCAGCAACCCGCCATCCACGTCCAGCATTTTGTCTGTCCAAAGGTTGCTCTGTTGCTGCTGCAGCAACCCGCCATCCACGTCCAGCATTTTGTCTGTCCCAAGGTTGCTCTGCTGCCGCTGCGGCAACCTGCCATCCACGTCCAGCATTTTGTCTGTCCAAAGGTTGCTCCTTATTTGCCCTCCTTTGCAGCTATATTGCTCTCGTCCTTCTCCTTTCTGAAGACGCTCTCCGTTTGTAGTAGAAGACGTAACTCCTTGCTGCTGTTGTTGTTGTTGTTGTTGTTGGCACCCACGAGAATAAGGAAATTTGGAGCGTTTTCTAGTGGTGTTTAGGTAGTAAAAAAAAGCACCAAAATCCACTACAACAATCCGGAGACAGGAGTAGAAACCGAGAAAAAAGGAGGGCAAAAGGGGCACAAAACCGATAGAACACCACGCAGATGAATCGAGAACCAAAGGCACCGAATCGAGAACCGAGTCCAGGCATGGAGGTGCATAATAGAGGGCAGCCTTATATCTGTGCGCTCTGAATCGAGAACCGAGTCGAGCCATGGAGGTGCATAATAGAGGACGGCCCTATATCTCTATCTGTGCGCTCTGAATCGAGAACCGAGTCGAGCCATGGAGATGTATAATAGAGGACAGCCCTATATCTGTGCGCTCTGAATCGAGAACCGAGGCGAGCCATGGAGGTGTATAATAGAGGGCGACCCTATATCTGTGCGCTCTGAATCGAGAACCGAGCCGAGCCATGGAGGTGCATAATAGAGAGCAACCCTATATCTGTGCGCTCTGAATCAAGAACCGAGTCGAGCCATGGAGATGCATAATAGGGGACAGCCCTATATCTGTGCGCTCTGAATCGAGAACCGAGTCGAGCCATGGAGACGCATAACAGAGGGCGACCCTATATCTGTGCGCTCTGAATCGAGAACCGAGCCGAGCCGTGGAGATGTATAATAAATAAAGGGCAGCCCTATATCTGTGCGCTCTGAATCGAGAACCGAGTCGAGCCATGGAGATGTATAATAGAGGTCAACCCTATATCTGAACCGAGTCGAACCATGGGGGTGCATAATAGAGGACGGCCCTAAATCTGTGCGCTCTGAATCGAGAACCGAGTCGAGCCATGGAGGTGTATAATAGAGGGCCGCCCTATATCTGTGCGCTCTGAATCGAGAACCGAGTCGAGCCATGGAGATGTATAATAGAGGTCAACCCTATATCTGAACCGAGTCGAACCATGGGGGTGCATAATAGAGGACGGCCCTAAATCTGTGCGCTCTGAATCGAGAACCGAGTCGAGCCATGGAGGTGCATAATAGAGGGCGACCCTATATCTGTGCGCCCTGAATCGAGAACCGAGTCGAGCCATGGAGATGCATAATAGAGGACGTGCTCTCTGAATCGAGAACCGAGCCGAGCCATGGAGACACGGCAGAGCTGTCTCCTCTGAATCGAGAACGAACAACGCATCTTATTGCGGGCGCGCATTTATTGACTGCTATACTGAAGCGCCGCTGCGGAGGAGATCGCCCAGCCTGTCTACCTCCGGCAGCTTAGATTCTAAGCTGTTGCATGCAGAATTTGCGGGGTAAGGCAACGAATTCACGAGGGAGACACCTGCACCAAAATAGGCTAAGCCGGATTCTACTGCGATGCTGAGCAAACCGCAAAGAGGCAGTAGCGCAGCTGATGTAAAAGGAAGAAAAAAAGGACGCGCCTGGTTTTCCGCGATAATGGTAACGCCCTGCGCTGATTTCTAGAAGATTCCCTGACCTGTGTCGTGATGCTTATGCATGAAAATGAATGAAGCAAATAAATAAAACTCGAAGACGTTCGCTGTTTGTCTGTTCTATAGAGATCGGCGGGACTCTATGAAAGCGCCAGCATCTCACTGCTTCCGCACAGCCTTGGAGCTGGAAGGATGCCTTCACGCTCGTCGTGGTTTTGCCCTTGGTGGGGCTGGATGCCTTCACGGTCGACGCCTTGGACTTGGAGGGGCTGGACACCTTCACACCTGACGCCTTTGCCTTCGAGGAGGTGGACGCCTTTACCGTGGGGGATATGCCTGAGGCCTCAGAGCTGGCGGCACCCGTAGAAATTCGGAGAGAGCGAAACCGCGCGGCATCCTTCTGGTAATGTTTCTGCAACGATTAGAGCACAAACAAAAGACACGACACAGCTAACGCATGAGTTTGCGAGGATTTAGCTAAAGGACGAAGGCCACGGGTATCATACTAGACGAACGAGAAGAGCACAGGCTCAGGCAAAGAATATAGAAAAACGCCACCACCCACACGCAGGCCCCTACTCTTGCCGAGCGAGACAGGCGGCAGCTCTCCCTCCGGCAGATCATAAAACGAAGCGAGTAGCGCCGCCTCCGTGGCCAATGATTAGAGGAAAACCCAAGGAGAACACAGGCGCCCCGCTCATGGCTCTGCTTTGCTAGTCGCTTACCTCAAGAGGCCCGCGCGCTCCTTGAACAGAGCAAAACAGAAGACAGAGGCGACGCCAGTTCCCTCCCTCCCCATACTGTGCCTCTCGAGACGCCACGACCCCAGCAGCCGACGCAACCGCTTCCAACTGCAACCGCGTCAAGCTCGTGATATCTCCTTGCCCCACCGCGGCGAGCGCCTCCTGGTTTAGTTAGAGGAATCCACCACAAAGCCAACCGCCTCAGAAATATCCCCGATGGCGCAGCTGAGCAGGGTGCTCCACTCCCTGGCACATCCTGCCAACTATTTCAAAGACCACAACCACAGACACGCTAGCCACGGCAGCCTTAATTTAGCGGCTGCGGCACGTCCCCCGAGCTGAGGAAGGTGATGAGGTCGGCGCGGCTACCGACCGCCCTGGGGCAGGTTTTAGAGGCAGACGCCTGGCGCTTGGTTGCCTCGCTTTTTTGTGCCTTGCGTCCCCCTCTTAAGAAAGGCAAAAAAAGACGCACGAGAAGCAACACAAGCCTGCCGCCCGTAAGAGTAATGGCCATGCCCTTCACCAGCGCGCGAAGCTCGGCCGTAGACATCTCCCGCAGCCGCTCGAGTTTTGGCATCTTCGCAGCCAAATCCATCGAGCCCAAGTCCATGCCAAGCCCATCCGCCACAACTTCCGCCGCCCGCTGGGCCTCTTCATCTGCATGCGCGACAAGCTGTCCGGTCCACTTCAGAAGGGGCAAGACATTCCCAAGCGCCTCCGTGTCATTGTCGTGAAAAATTAGAAAAATCTGCGAGGAAACAAGAGAGAGAAGAAGGCGACAACACTCAAACCCATAAGGACACGCCACGCCATAACATGAGCCCAAGTATCATCTTCGCCTTTGTCTCGATGTTGTCCCGGTTGCGCCACAGGCAGAAATGAAAGAAAAACTACAACGAAGAGCCACCGCCTACGCCTTTGCTTTTTGACAAGCGTCAAAGAGTGAGACAAGCGAGGCAAGCCAGCCAACTAAGCAACAAACAAAGAGAAAAGACTAAGACACCCGCACCCCTTGCGTGGGTTTCCATCATAGTACAAGCACAACGATGCCCCTGAGGTACTTCCTTGCCCACTTGAGAAAGGTCACCGCTTGCGCCTGCAGCTACCTAGCTAGGTGGCCCCATAAAAGAGAGCAGCGTAGAAGCCGTCGCGCTTCGCTCGCAACTCCTCCGCACCTTGGAGATTTGGAGGGAGGCGCTTCACTGGATCAAGCTGCCACTCCTCCACATGTTTCCACATATTCTCGACGCACTGGCTCCCGACTTATCATTAGAAACCTACGAGGCCGCTCTTAGGTGGTTCAGGGGGTTAGTGTGGACGAGAGCCGACGAGACGCGTCGCCAAGATCTAAAGAAAGAAACGCGAAACACCACACCCACCCACCTCAGACGAATGAAGAGAAAACACACGACAGCGAGCCATAATCTTTCATCGATGCCAGATCGAGGAACCAACACACAGCATCCTGGTGGTTGCAGAAAGAGTGCATATACGGCGGGCGTTGCGTCTCATTGGCAAACAAGCAAGTAGCCGCATTGTTTACGCGAGTGATGACATGGCCTACTTCGTCTAAACGTCTCGGGCTTCAGTCTTCACAGGAAAACGCTGTCGCTAGTTTTCGAACGTTGGTGGTCAAAAGCAAAGCCCACGCTTCTACCAATTCACTGGCCTACTTCTTTGAGCTGCTGCCTGGCTTCCTACTCTGGTTGGCTGATACAGCGAAGCAGAGGAGTACAGACAGCAGAGAGAGCCTAAAGCAAAGCCAAGACAAGAAACGCCCTCAGATTGGTGCCGTCGCTGCCACCGACAAACTTACTAGAACAAGAATCGACACAGCTGGGGTTCGAACCTGAGTCCTGGAGAACGGAAACAAGGCAAGCGCGCTACCAGCTGAGCTACTTCGTAGGTAAGATATGGAACCTGAGACCTCAAAGCGCTAGCGCAAGACGCAGACCATTAAGCTACGCTACATGGCTTCAAGTGCGCAGCAGAAGGAGTACACTACTACGGGAGGGCCTCCGGCTAGGTTAGTAATCTAGTGAGCGAGGTCCGAACCTTCGATGGAGGTGGCGCAGAAGGACAAGGCGAACGCCTAGACCGTTGAACCAATTTCACTACTTCAGTGTGATGCCTGACGATTGCAATGCCGTCACGAAGGTGCATGCTTTGGGGGTTTGTGTTCTTGCCAGGAACAGGCGGACTCCGCGCCGCCTGCTATATGGAGGGAACATCAAGAGAGGCGGGCTCTCGGTTCAGGGTTCAGGATTCAGATGAGACATCGCGTCGGCTGCCATATAGAGGGAACAGCAAGGGAGGCGGGTTCTCGGTTCAGGGTTCAGGATTCAGATGGGACATCGCGTCGGCTGCCATATAGAGGGAACACCAAGGGAAGCGGGCTCTCGGTTCAGGGTTCAGGATTCAGATGAGACATCGCGCCGGCTGCCATATAGAGGGAACATCAAGGGAAGCGGGCCCTCGGTTCAGGGTTCAGGATTCAGATGAGACATCGCGTCGGCTGCCATATAGAGGGAACACCAAGGGAAGCGGGTTCTCGGTTCAGGGTTCAGGATTCAGATGAGACATCGCGTCGGCTGCCATATAGAGGGAACATCAAGGGAGGCGGGTTCTCGGTTCAGGGTTCAGGATTCAGATGAGACATCGCGTCGCCTGCCATATAGAGGGAATACCAAGGGGGGCGGGTTCTCGGTTCAGGGTTCAGGATTCAGATGAGACACCGGGCTCCCTATTATATACAACATAGAGGAACGAGGTGGAGTCTGCTGCGTTTTAAACGCTAAACACCTCTAGAGTTTTCTTATTCTCGTGGCTGCCTTGTTGTTGTTGTTGTTGTTGTTGTTGTTGTTGTTGTTGTTGTTGGTCGGTCTTGCACCACAGCCGCAGCCTCTGCTAATATTGTTGCAATTGTACTGGTGAAGATGATGATGGTGTTGCAACTTACTATAGTCTTAGGCTGTTGAGGAAGTTGAAGGCTTTAACTATATTTAGTAGTTTTGTGTGAAGTCGAAGTAGTGTAAGTGTTGCTTCGTGCGCAAGCACAAAACAGATACTCACGCTCGTTGCAGTCTCAAGACTAAGTGCAAATATTAACCTGAAAAAGCTAGCCAAGACTAGTTACGACAAGTGACAAGTCTTGTGACTGACTCGTACAGGAAATATTAAGCCCTAAAAAATATCAAATCCAATTTCATGATCAAGATGAGCATTACATCGATAAGGGTAAGTAAGGACATTCATCAATCAAAGGGTTTTCTCAACATATGAAGATGTTCGTAATGATCTCTCGATGAAGTGCAGGCTGAAGAGGCCTCTTATCAATTTTGACCTTCACTAGTATCACTCTTCTCGTCTATCTGTCGTCAAGATCATCGTATGTTGCATCCTACTCTCCCTCTCGGTCTCTCCGTGTCCGTTTCGCGGACGTGCAACAGACGAGTTACTACGTTCTCACAGATCTCCCAGCAAAGCAACACCATGTATGATGACACTGACGATCATCGCCATGGTCAGCATCAACATAGCAGCTCACACAGTCCTCCTCTTCCTAGACTTTCTCCATCAAGGCCGGATTTTCTTTCTCTCAAAATCTAAGTCTTTAGAACAAGAGGGCACCAGCATGAACTTCCAAGCATCTTCATTAGCAAGGATAAAACTATCATCAAGGATAATGAATAACAGCTTAATACTGGTTCTTAACTAGCCTTGTGCGATCAGCTACAAACATACAACTGGGGAGTAGACAGACTTTGGCACACGACATCAGATTGCAGACCGCATGGGATTGATTTTTGATACAGGACACGCAGCTGCTATCATCATGCTCTTCATCATGATCATGTGACTATTATTACGAGAGTAACTACACTCTTCATATATTACCAGCACATCTCGATTTTTGTTGAAGTATCAGATAAAGGACCGCAGCATTATTGCCAAAGGCTTAGGCCACTAGAGCAACTACTTCAATGATAAACAAGTGTAGCAACTACTTCTAAGATGTGGCACTACTATGATAAGTATTAACGTCACGTGGCCGCGTGTGACCCTGATTATATGGACCCTCGCGACCATCGTAGAGACAAATGATAAATAACTAGTGCTAATTCCTTCTAGTTGTACTATTTATTACCATAATGATGACAAAGAACAGTCAGAAGTGTGGCCACTTTGACTTTCAGTGGTACTATGATTGATAAGTGTAACTATTATCAGAACCAACTGCGCAGCCCTTCTTTCAATTTCTGAAAATCGTTGTGGAAGGTCATAGTCATAGTGCATAACGGCAATAGGTTCATAGTGCGTCGATCTATGAGCGACCTTCTAGCTTTTGAGTGCCTCTGCCTTGTTGATCAATTTGGGAATATTCTAAATTCTTAGTCTTAAGTATCACGCAAGTAGAAAAGTGCTGAAAGCTTCTTGTTCATTAGGCGAACGAGTACATTAGTTTTATGAGTATGAGGATCATGGAAAAAATTAGATGAAATACTCTGTAACTTCAGCAAGGACTATAAGGAATTCTGACGGTGAGAACTTGAGAAGTGTAAGTACAGATGACATGGAAAAATCTTCTAAAAGAGACACGCTAAAACTTTATGGCTTTGGAGATTGTGCCTCTTCTCTCGGCTTCGTTCTCTAGTTGTCTCCGGCCATGTTCTCTCCTCGTGCGCTGAGTATTATTTTTCTCTGATTCAACTACCGCTACCCAGCTTCAGCTTCTTCTTAATCTTCATCCCTCAACTGACTAATTTTGCCTCACCAGTACAGGAATTCCTCAGGAGCGAGGAGGCCTTGCTCTTGTTGCTTCTTACTCTACAGCGGATTCATTCTTCATCCTTCTTGCCTCTTTCTCTTATTCTTAGAGCTAGACTGATCGTCTTTAATATTTTGGAGAAAAGAAAAAAGACGAAAAAATGCTTCTATAGGTATTGAAGATGTCATTTGTAATCTATTATCAAGCTATACTTTTTCATCTTTTTAAGGTGTGAAAACTGTAACGCGCGCGCGCGCGTTACGCGCGCGCGCGTTATAACGCGTTACGCGCGCGCGCGTGACGCGCGAAATAAGGCGCGCGCGCGTTACATGCGCGCGCGCGGGTAACGCGCGCGGGGGCGGGGGTGCGCTCACGACCGGGCTCGCCTGGGCCGGCTCGGGCTCGCCTGGGCCGGCTCGGGCTCGCGTGGGCCGGCTCAGGCTCGCCAGGGCGAGGCCAGTTCGGGCTC